TCTTTGTTTTAGTGTAGTCTCACATTTGTCGAAACGAAATACACCGAAATGATAGTATAAGCCTTAAGAGCGTTGACCATGTTGTCATTGATTCAGTGTATTCTCACATTTGTCGAAACGAAATACACCGAAATGATAGTATAAGCCTTAAGAGCATTGACCATGTTGTCTTTGATTCAGTGTATTCTCACATTTGTCGAAACGAAATACACGGGAATGATAGTATAAGCCTTACAAGCGTTGACCATGTTGTCTTTGATTCAGTGTATCCTCACATTTGTCGAAACGAAATACACCGAAATGATAGTATAAGCCTTAAGAGCGTTGACCATGTTGTCTTTGATTCAGTGTATCCTCACATTTGTCGAAACGAAATACACCGAAATGATAGTATAAGCCTTAAGAGCGTTGACCATGTTGTCTTTGATTCAGTGTATCCTCACATTTGTCGAAACGAAATACACCGAAATGATAGTATAAGCCTTAAGAGCGTTGACCATGTTGTCTTTGATTCAGTGTATTCTCACATTTGTCGAAACGAAATACACGGGAATGATAGTATAAGCCTTACAAGCGTTGATCATGTTAGCTCGAACTACTTGGAACCAGATAAATAGTTTATATTGAGTGTTCGACATATCCGACTCGACCGTAATACGTATCCTAGCCATTTGAATGCAATCGCTTCACATGGTGAATGTTATGCAAACAATATATTTTGTGCATATTTCATCTGTATGTTTGGATGCATTAATTTTTAGGTCGTCTTGTCAAGACAAGTTAAGAATATTTTCAACTCTTTTCTACCGGGAATTCCACACTTCCTGTTCGCCATATTCAGGTTAGAATATTGATACATACAGAGTAATTAGAGTTTACTGTCATGTGTGAATGTGTGAACGAACAGTCTGTATATATTTATTTTAACGCCGTTTAATGCAGTATTCGATTTGAATGAGACAATCAAGTGATTGACGTCATGAGCACTGATCTGTACAACCATGTCGGCGAGTCTGACGCCCGTTCGTCGCTTTTTATGACAAGAGAGTCAGTGAGTTTAGTTTTACGCCGCACTCAGCAAGATTCCAGTTATATGGCGACGGTCTCTAAATAATCGAGTCTTGACAAGACAATCCAGTGATCAACAGGCGTCACCATCGCGCTCAACGTTGCCGTTATCTAAAGTTATCAACTTGGTTGTATAGACATTACTTTCTTCTAAACTGATGTAAAAATACGTTTCTTAAAGTCTATTTGTGGACGAGTTATACACGTTTGAAAATACATTTTCGCAACAGATTTCTGGGTTATGCGTTTCTTTTTTTTTAAATAGTATATTAATAAAATTATAATAATAAATGTGGTAGGTTCAGAAAATCACATGTCCCGGCTTCGACACTGTATCTCCATAACGCCTGTTCATGAACAGAAGGCTGTGATAGTGTGCCCCCCATATCGTTGGTTGATAAACCCGGGTGTGATGGATGTACTGATAATTCAGTAAAGCTGGATGGACAACTGTGAAAATGACATAAACGTGGAATCAACGTCTTTGTCAACATTTTTTCGTTCAAAAAGATGTATTTATACAGTTATCCAGTTCATAACTTGTGTGTATCATCGACGCTTCCGCTCGGATCTAGATTAAACAAAAATGAACATATACCTGGTACTGACCCTTAAGTGGCGTAACGTAGGGAAAGACATTATCAACAACACTGAATCAAAACCCAACGCATGGTATACTTTCGTGTGTCTGTTTATTCTGTTTCGTGTAATGTTAACTCCCATTGACAACATTTGTAACCATGTCGGGCTACATAATTCTAACTGCTGTTCATCTGTGAATTCGTCTAATATCTGTTTCTATCACAAGGGATAAATATTTCAGTGTTAAAACTGTTAAGGATGTTTTTAATAATGTTAATCATCACTTAATTGTTGAAGTTTTAAAAGAAATATAATTAAATGATGAATTGTGATTAATATGTTTTGTATATAGAAATGGATTTTATTATTGGTAGTTTAAATTAGTAACTTAGATTGTGTGTGGCTGTATCCTCAAACGGGGTTAAAATATTGTAAAATTATTGTCCTCCTGAGATGATACGTAAGTCTCAAAATATTCCACGAAAATTTAACCCCACCATTTTTTTAGTCGTAGTTTATGTGTGCTTTTAATGTATGGCTATATTTTCCTACAATCACAAGCGGCTGAAGGGATGGTGTAAATCCAGCTAGGGCTCATGCAGGTAGCTAAAGTACTGTACGTCCCCATTGTCTCTCGTATTGTGATCTACCTTCAGTTGTTGGCGATCTATAGCCTAGTTTTATACTGTATATATCTTCCTCTGTACTGTCATTACTAGTTGTAAATTTCTATCTGTGATAGTCTAGCTGTTTTACTGTCCTTCGTTGACAGGTGTAATTTACTTTTAATTATTATAAATCTATAAACTGATTTAGTCACGATATGGATGAAATATTTAAACTTAAAATCTTAACTCACTCACTCACTTACTCGTAGAATATCTGTGTACACATTGTTGAGGGTGTGTACATCACAAACAACTTCATGCATGCACAAATGCATTCGGACACTGTCGGAACCTACTTCACCTGTCTATACTCAATAGGCATGTCGTCGTAACATTCACACCGGTTGGTTCCCTTGAATGGTCCTGGTAGATATATACTAGGTTCATAGAGAAACTGTGCATACAAAAATGTAACGTCATGAGGCCATTGGGATGGTCCGTGGGGCAATGTCTCAACGACAAGTGGCTCCACATTTCCACTGCCACCGGAACACCATTTCGGCACTGATTAGACGCTACCAGAACACAAATGACGTCATCGATCAGCCACGTTCTGGACGTCCACGTGTAACATCGCCATGACAGGACAGATGGTTAAGGGTGACCCATCTTCGCCACAGGTTTCAGACTGCAGTGATGACTGCCCGAACCACCCCAGGACTTCGCCGTATCCACCCCAACACGGTTCGACAACGTTTACGTCATCACGGGATCAGACCACGACCTATCCTGACACAACGTCATCGACAAGCTCGCCGAATGTGGTGCCGAAATCATGTCCGCAGACCCTTGTTTTGGTGGAGAAATGTTGTTTTAACAGATGAGGTTTTAACAGTCCAGGTTTAACATTTCCCATAGTGATGGGCGTCAACGTGCCTATAGACGCGTGGGAGAACGTTATGCACAGGCCTGTGTCTTGGCGAGGAATCGCTTTGGTGGTGGTTCCGTGATGATTAGGGGTGCAATAACAGCACGCCAAAGAACTCCTTTGGTGATTGTTCAGGGCAACTTAACTGGTGTGGGCTACAGGGATCAGATTCTTCGACCTGTGGCAATTCCTTTTCTGCAACGTCATGGCCCTGGGTTAACATTCCAGTAGGACATACGGCAAGGGTTGCTATGGATTTCTTGCAACACCACAACGTTGACTTACTGCCTTGGCCTGCAAATTCACCGGATCTCTCCCAGATAGAGCATGTTTGGGACGAGATGGACCGACGTCTACGCCGTCTTCCTCATCCGCCAGATAACGTCCTTGACCTTGCAACAGAACTTGAGAGAATCTGGCGTGATATCCCACAAGCCTTGCTTGCACGTTTGATAGGCTCTATGCGTCGTCGATGCACTGCTGTTCTCAATGCCGATGGTGGACATATCCGTCACTGAGCTTGTGACATGGTCGTTTGACCCCTGTCTTGCTTGTGGACTCGTGACGTCATTGTGATTGACTTTTCAATTGAAATTCTCACGACTTTTTATGGTCTCATGGTCCATCCATTAAAGTTTATATGTATCTTTGATATTGTTATCGTACTTATGAACTGGGATAATATTTTGACAATGCACAGTTTCTTTATGTGGCTAGTATATGTTCCGGTCTTCTACTTATTAATTGAACCACCAACAATATTATGCCAAGGTCAGGATTATCCAAAAGTACGAATACATGTATTCTATACTGATAATAATAGACCCATATAGCATATATATTGTCATATGCAGGCTTTATATCCACACTCACCCATTCCCTCTTTAGATACTTTTAAAAATATTACATACAAATACATTCCTCATGAATTGTCATGAAATAAGCAAGTCGTGGCATGACTTTACAAGCAGAGATGGATATGGGGGATTAAGAACCTAGCCTGAGGTGATCTAGATTTCCTTCAATTTCGGCATTTTGGACAGTCCGGGATTAGATATTTCCAAGTTCGAGAAAACGGGTTAGACTGTAAAGTCAGTGTGGTCACAAAACGCAAGACAATCAAGTGATTGAAGTCATGAGCATCGACCTGTACAATCATGTCATCCCGTCGCCTTTTTTGGCAAGTAAGGGTTACTGAAGATAAATTCTTCACGGCGCGCCGTGCATTAGCATCTCTTAAAAACGAACGTAGGACATGTTCGCGTTCTGTAGCCACGCGAGTCATGTACACATTATCACGACTCCATGCAACATCTATCCTGGTGAAGTAGATATAACCGTGTTCCTGGCGATGTGTACACATTATCACGACTCCATGCAACATCTATCCTGCGGAAGTAGATATAACTTACCCGTGTTCCTGGCGATGTGTACACGTTATCACGACTCCATGCAACATCTATGCTGGTGAAGTAGATATAACTTACCCGTGTTCCTGGCGATGTGTACACATTATCACGACTCCATGCAACATCTATCCTGGGGAAATAGATATAACTTACCCGTGTTCCTGGCGATGCCTACCTGTAAATTCAAACATTGCTGTGCATGCTTGGCTTCACCCAGACACAAGCGTGTAAATGGGTTTGTTAACAATAATAGTTGCAGCTAGTGGTAGCGTTCATTATTATAGACCAATAAAAGACCAATACAGAACGTCAATGTTATGTGAGAGGCATGTTGTCATGAAATCTCACTTGAATGACAGTCCCTTGTGTCCCATTAAATTCACTGTATGGTTGTGTACACAGTTGAACAGGGTTATAATCTTGATTTCCTTCCTGGTCTGTGCGGCAGTGTTTCGCAATGGCTGTGAGAGACGGAGTTGTGATTTTGCTTGCCAGTTTCAGCCTCGTTACAGGTGAGTATTTTCTTAGAATATGTGTTTCAGCGCCAATTGAGGGCATTATATACCTGTTAGTATTTCTAAACAGGTACCTACACAGAACGGTACAGACAGCATTGGCATTGATGATTTGGTACCTTAATATATAGTTGTATCATGCCGGATGATCAAAATACTGAATCATCCCACCCATGGGTGTAATTCAGAATAGCAAAATTATCCCAGCGATATTCAAACTATTTATCCCAGCGATATTCAAACTATATTCAAACTATTCAACTAACTGTGACGGATTACCAAGGTAGATCAAAAAGTTAACCTGAAATCTGCACGCAACAGAATTGTGTGACACCAACTGAACTTTGTAGGTAACAGAAAGCACTTGGTGTGAAACCAACAAGCAACTTAGAAATGTGATACAATTAACTATTGTATTTTAAAACAAAGTTTTCAAATCGTACCAATCGGTACAAGGGAATGACAATGGCAACATGCATATATATATATATATCACCCAAAATTACTTCCCATGTACCGCTTGCTTGACAAAGACATTAGAATCTATGTCGAAACGAAAAGAAGTTGTACATCCATAAAAATAGTCCTCATTCTTCATCTACCCAACTTCTAGAATGCCAATCAAAGACGTTATAGCAATGCCAATCAAAGACGTTATAACATTAAAGTCAGTGATGAGTATCTTCTCATCGCTGTGATAGTTTCAGTCTTCCAATACAGGCCTGGACTGGGAATTCAGGGTGATCGTCACACAACTGCTGGTCTTATTGAAATAGGAAATGTTATGAGAGATAACCAAGGTAAGAGTTAGGCACGCTTTGTATGCGTAAAAAAGCCTCAAAAACGTTATCCAACTCTCTGAACCAGACTACGGAATATTCCGAAATCGTCCGATAAATTTCATCACCAATCTTCTCTCTACGAGTGAATATAGTAACCAGCTCAATTTGGTAGAGACAGCAAACCTCTGTGCACATTGGTAAGAAATCTCTGCTAAAAGCAGAGTCGACTTTACTATGTCATGGGTATGTGTTTGTTGACGGAACATTCAGCAGTATTACAGCTGTGCGACGTGATCTGTAAACAATCGAGCCTGGGCAAGATAATCCAATGATTGAAACCATGAGAGACATGGCTGAGCATGTGTTTCTGAATCACTATCAAATAATGATGATATTAGGTATTCACATTAGGTATTTTCTGTGTAAGAGTAGGGGTGATATAAAAAGATGGGCACATCAATTTGGGGTTTGTTGTTTAGCGACACAACCAGTTATTCCCCAAATATTTAACAGCGGTCTTCAAACAATCGTACACAGTCCAGACCACAGTCCAGAAATAGGCATTGTTGGCGCCATGTATGTCGTCGGGGTCCGGAAGTAATCAACCATATATTTTACCCTGACCTGCACATCTATTTAGTCGCCTCGTTCGACTAGCATAGGCACTCTACCTGAATTCCCGAGAGGATGTTTATATATACATAGTTAGTAACAACCTGTCGACTGAGAGGTATTTATGTTAAAGATGAGGTAGATGATATGACACTGCAGACGAAGTAACATTCGTTGACTACAACATAACAGGGCACCAGAAAATCAGCGTTAGATTGTAACCTGTAAAATCAGTTTTCGAAAAATGCCGATACACAAAAAATACAAAAAACAAGGAACTAGTTTGAAAGAATACATATTTTAAGAATACTCTTACCATCGTTTTTAAATTTTATAAGCACACTTTTGTAAGTGTTAAAGAGCAACATTACACGTTGACATTCAGTTGACCAGTTTGGATGGGATATTGCATAACCGTTTGACATTTCACACCACGTATGTACACGTGACCACTTGTTCCAAACTATTTTTAAGGGGTGAATTGTAAATGACACTGCTGAAAAATGAACATAACTTTGAATAATACTGTATATGTGAAATACATACCTTGGATACGAGTTGTTATCATTCTTTACTTGGAACTTCGTCTCATTTACCAGGTACTGCTACAAACGTTGCCCTGAACAAACCCGCATGGATGAGTTCAGCCTTGGACGGAAATCATCCTGCCAGCAAAGCTGTCGATGGAGATACAAGGGCCAATCATTTCAATCATGTAGCCCACACTGGGATAGGACAAACTACCGCTTGGTGGAAGGTGGATCTGCAGACACAAGTACAATCAGCACGGATTATCCTGTACTTCAGAACAAACTGTACGTATAGACAAATTACGTAATTCATATGAAACAGAATTATGATAAGAACTACAAACCATATTCTGACGTTCTCCTGGATTCATGCACTGAAATCCATCTTAATGTCGACCACTGTACTATAGTTACAAACGAGGCTGATTTCTATTTTCAGTTCATGCAAAAAGCCATCAACTTACGAATATGACGTTTGCATTCCCCAACTGCTCATTTTCTTTTATGGTATATTCATTTCTCGGAAAAACGTGTCTACAACCTAACTTTTCCTTCATGATAATGTAACTATATTTCGGCAGACATACATTCTAAATTTATAAAATATCAACACCTTCCTTATTTTTGTCATGGTCTAGCAAGTGACGGTTAGTATTTACTCACTCAAGCTCTTGCCAGTAGAATATGTCTATACTATAATTAAGTAGAGGTCACGAGACAGCGGCCACTGTTCACCGGTTGTCAAATCAAGGTGACGATATGTCAGAAAAGGGAGAAAAAAAAAGAAGAAGAAGAAGAAGAATGGTGCTGGCAAAACAAGACGCATAACTGTGGGTTGGGACTGAGATTCTAACCCAATATAATAGTTTTTTCTCAGAGACGGTGGGGCTGCCTAATGGTTCGAGTGCCTAATGGTTCAAGCCTTCGCTCGTCACGCCGAAGACTCGGGATCGATTCCCCACATGGGTACAATGAGTGAAGCTCATTTCTGGTGTCTTAAAACAAGAAGCCATGCATTCTGAATTACCGTCGTACTTTTGTGATGGAAACTGTATAGCTGGATAATATGTCTCTTAGAACCGATGAATGCCACAGAAAGAATTCAAAGGACATTCACCAAACAAACCCACAACGAAAAGACACGCATCTTTGCAGAACACTACTGACGTTAACCAAACACCATAGTGTCAAACAATTGTTGTAGACACTCAAGGGCACATAAAAGTCGGACATGTACAATGTGACCTAACTGTATGCCGTAGTTAGACGCAATGGTTTGTTGATGTCACTCTGTTCTGGAATTCACGGTTGTATTCCATTGCTTGAGACGCCCTGTACTTAGTCTAATGTATATCGCCTTGTTTCAGACATTACTAGACGTAATGGCGTGCAGCTGTACACATCAGGGACAAATTCACTTGATCCCAAAGAAGGAAATCTATGCCACACTGTAACAGGGCGTCCTAAGGGTACAGACATCGATGATATACTGAATGTGACCTGTCCTGGGACCTGGCGATACCTGACTGTCTACACAGAGACTAATAATGACGGAGGCGGTGTTATATTAGACTTTGCTGAAGTGCAGGTGTGGAGTAAGTATTCTATTGTGCGTGAAGTAATAACTGTATTGAAGAAATCTCTCTCCAGACCAATTTACACAATTGTTGCATTTAAAAAAATCCACTCTGAAACTATATAGCATGCCTTTCAGTTCCCTAGGTTTTTCTTTTTCTCCCATTATGCAGATGAACTGCACGATGATCATGCATCAAATTGCTTTAAAGCCTGTGAACATATCGTGCATGTGCACTGCTGCGTTTTGGTGTAAAGAATGATTAATAATTCGCCACTGAGTTTCATCATTTATTGAACTCATGACAATAATCTTTAAACGTTACGAATTTGTTTTACAGTACATCAGTTCATGTGTAAACAGTACCTATAAACAGCGTGGAATATTTTGCAAAATCTAGTTTTGAACAGTTGACTGAAGTAAGTGGCTACATTTACACTAGTGAGTCTAAACTTTTGATGGGTAGTATATTTGACGTTGAAAAGTTTATACAATCACTATGACACGGATGGTTGGTTGGCTGGGGTGAATGAGTGAGTGAGTGAGTGGGTCACATCGCCAGCATTTCAGCCATATCGTGACTATGAAAACTATATACATTCTGAAAACGTAAAATGGAAAAAGAGATTCGTAATGGTATCCTGGATGTGTAATCAGAATGGTTCGCTTACATTGATTGATCAGCTTCATCTTCATCTAGTTGGTACCTCTTTGAAACAGGGAAAAGTTCCTCAAGGATGTGAACATCAACATAATCATGTTTAGTTGCATATGTTATCAGTGATAGCTTCAAACAAACGATGCCAAGACGTGATTTGCACATGTTGACATTTCGAAATTCGATACATCAGTGACAAAAATGATGTCCGATACAATTCCCTCATTTGACTTGTACCATACGTTCAAGAAATATTTCAGGTGAACAATTGACTAGACTTTGCTTATGTTTATGACTAGTGCCACCGGTAGGGCAGGATAACCTCACCTTTACGCAACACCTGGTATCATCAATATTTCAAGGTGATTCATAAACGCATGCTCTGTCATCGTATCGCATGGTAACAATCACCGGATTGTCTAGTCTGTAAATACTGCTGAAACAAACATACACTCATGATGTAGTCAACTTTTAGCAAAGATTTCTTATGAGTGTGAAAAGGGTTTTGTCACTTTATTTAGACACAACTTTTAGATTAAAGCTCAATGTGGAATATAATTATTTGTCTCACGTGGGTCCCATTTGATGTATGAATGCGTGAAGCATGTTTTAATGTTAGTTTCAGTTAACGATGTCACTTGAGTGAAAAAATCGTTTTCCTGTCTTGGAAACTCCAAACTAAAAAAACTCAATCAAAACTTAGATACACACATGATAATGCAACTAATGGTAAAGACTGGGTCGGTCAACGGGGATATGTTTAAATGTTGAATTTACAATTAGTAAAGTTTTGATATTCTATAATCATCTTGTATAGAACATGTGTTGTGATACTATTTGCAGTCAGGCCACGTCCTACATCGTGGCCTGTTGTTGAATACGCGTAATACAGTAATGATGGCTGTGTGTCAGTTCTCTATAAGATCGTGTAATATCTTAAGAAGTGTAAGGTATCGAGTCATGCAGCTGGCCATATTAGAATAGACATAGAAAATCATAAGGTGCATTCGGTGAATAAAAAATGTTTGTTGTTACAAATAAAAATCCACCGATAAAAATCAGATTTCCTGTCAGGGACTTGTTTCCCACTGTGACAAATACAGATTCACTGATCATAACGTGAGAAAAATAAGATGAAATAAGTGTAAGACTGACTTTGTGCAAATACTCCTGTAGACTTATTGTGCCAAGCAGTTCGATGTTATCATTTGTTACATGATTAAACAAATAAATCAACTACTCTGCATCTATTGTAGCGTGCTCTGTTGGCATGTATGGGGTCAGCTGTAACAAAGGCTGTAACTCTCGCTACTGCGACGGTTCAACCGAGTCGTGTGATTCCTTCACCGGGGCGTGTTCAAGTGGACAGTGCCAGACAGGATGGACAGGAATAGACTGTGCAGGTGAGTGTTTGATAAATCGGATGTAGAATGATGTCTGATGTTTTGTCTCAAGTATGACCTTAACGTTTGGTGCAGGTCGAAGGTGTTTCACACTTTGGTGAGACTGCGAGCAAGGATAATAATTAGCAACACCTAGTATTTCAACCCTCGACCTTGGGACCTCCTTGTAACTTCGCAGCGATTTCTGCATGTTTCCATCCAATGCTGCTGTTAATTTACACATTGTTATTACAGAATAATGATAACTTTATGGATATACAACTTCTTTATTCTGTGAAAGGCGACGTTTTACCATAGATTCTAATGTCATTATCGGGCAAGTGATCACTTGTACGTCCATAAAATTATCATCACCTCAACATCTACTATGCCCATCAAAAAGGATTTTGTTTTTAAACAAATATAATCATCACAGTTTTAGTGGTCAACTTTCTCTTATGCCGAGCAATCTTTTAGATTTCCCCAAAGATTCCTAAGATGATTATATGCAAACCTTTAGCCTGTACTAACGATAAGATGGCATTAGGATGATGAGGATGGCATTAGGATGGTATGTCTACCAAATGAAAGACAACACAACACAGATGTGTGGATGACAATGAGCGCGGTGTGGATGGCGCCGACGGGACCTTATATATATGAGCTGTTTGCAGCCCTCTGCCGTGTTAAAGCAGACGGGCAAGGTATAGGCAAGTTTGTACTTCCTCCCGTGGAGACAGCAGGCAGGAAAAGCAGGCTGATAAGGCATTGGAAAGTTTGTACTTCCTCCTGCGGAGACACCAGGCAGGAAGGTTTAGGCTGCCACTGTGAAAGCAGAAGCCAAGTAGCCCCTTTTTTAAGCTAATTTAGTGTTTAGTCCCGTCGGCACCATGCTAACAGGTCCGCACGCTGCCCGCTGCCGGACAGCGTGCGGGGCTGCCATCCACAACGAGTTAAGGAGTTAAAGGGGCAGTAGGGGAGAGGACGTATCAGAGGTTTTACTGTTTTACTTTAGCGTTGCCAGAATGGCCTGATGCTGGGAGTCCATGGCTTGCTTAGATAGATGGACCCCGTCAAGATACTGGGCGGGGTCAGGTGTATATGACACCACCCTGCCGCCCAGCTGCCCCCTCACGACGTTGCTGATCCGTCAATTGACCTTCCTTCTCTTCAGCTCGAGGGCGCGGATATCAATAGCTCCATGCCACTCGATCCGAGGTAGCATCTGTGACCAGATGATCATGGCAGCTGGGCAGCACAGGCGAATGTATAGCAAGTCCTGATACATAGCGTCGTAGATAGCTTTGGCAGGGACCTCACACAGGTCGTTGGATCCAAGGTGAATCAAAACAAACGACCTGCATGGGCCCCTCGCCCTTATTAGCCCGTCCACCCTGCTGCGCAGTTCTGACCACTTGAGCCCCCCCCCTACCCCACCCCCCCACTGGCCCAGGCTACTTCGTTGCGGCCCAAGGTGTTGTTGTAGCCTCGCCATATAACTGAAGCCAATCACCCACGGTGGTCCTGCAACCCATAATTATTAAATTATATTTGTGTGCTTAGCCAGGGGATATGGATATACGCCTGGTAGGCATTCGATCTCCAGCGACCAAATTCCTGAATCTGAACTGCCGGAATTCCTTGCATCGCTGCTGTGGTTGCTGCCCCTATCCGAAATGAATGAGAAAAGTAAAGATTAATATTGATGGGTTCGCTGCCGCAAGCGTCTTCCTGAGCACTGCTTGAAACTGAAATCTTGTTATAAAGGAGCTGAGTTATTGTGAATAATGAAATACCCGTCTGTACGAGGTCGTAGGATCCACGTAGGATTGGTCGCTAGCAAAAGACATGTCATTCAGAAACACTGCCCACTGTGACGAGTCACTGATTGGACTGGCGACTACCTGACTTACCCTGAAAAAACCCAACAAATGTTAACAGGTACGCCGCTGAAAACATAGAAGCTTCATATGAAGACCTACAAACCGTGGGGAGGAGTTGCACAATGCGAGTTAGCAGATCGAGTGTAATAGGCTGACGTGTATGTGACTTCCTCGATCCCCTTGCCATCCCTGCAATGGCTTTCTGCACTAAAAAGCGGTTAGACCTGCACTGCAAGGAATTGAGCTTGTTGATGGAGGATAATGCTGAAATGTAAGAACGGGCCGTGCTGGGAGACCTACCTGAGATAAGCTATAAAATGAAGCATATGATCTAAAGGTACAGGCCATATGTCTGGCAGGAAGTACACCACCCGAAATACCCGCAGTGACTGAACCGCCGACTCGTAAGCCCTCCAAGTGTTTGCCGCCATCGAGTTTGCTACTAGGCTGTTTGCTTCCGCTGTTAGAAAAGCCAGATTTCCGCTGGGATTTCAGAGGCCAGTTGATCCGCCTGTGTGACTGCTGCTCGAAACCGTGACCAATGAAATCTCGAAAGAGCGTCTGCTATTATGTTGGCCTGGGTTGGTATATAGGAAAGTCCATATGTTTACGGAAGTGACGTCACGAACTACGCTCACTCGTGTTCCGGTAGGCAGAAAGCAACAATGGTTGACGATAACAACGAGAACCGGTGTAGCGTAAAAAGCAAACAATGTTCGGATTATGTACTTAATCCTCTCAATGCTACTGTTGAACCCATTCGACAGGAGAGCAGCATAATGACATCCCCCAAATAAAACTTGCAATAATTATTCAACAAGTCGGATTTACGTGTCATTTGAATTATGTATGGAATTAATTAATTCTCAGGCATCTTAATATATAATCTTCAATTAGTTTATGTACCTTAAAACGAAACGCCCGCGAACTTTAAATTCGTTTGCCAAAATTCTCGGCACACACCTGCACATAACGGCCATTTTTTTACTTCAGGCACATCACGTCGAGTGGTACCCTGCCTAATATTTTCTTCAAAATGAAATATGTTTTTAATAATTTGATCAGTATTTTTGTTCTTTGGTGAAGAGAAAACACTGAAGTTTCCCATTTCCTAAAAATTAGTAACTTTCGGTTTAATTATTTATAAACAACAACAATCTTAATGTTACATCACCGATTGGACGATAGGAATGATCATGGCAACGGCGGTAAACAAACAACTCCATATGCATCGTGATACCGAAAACAATGTGCCATCCTTTTGATAGATCTAACTATTTTCGCTCGAATTAATTACATGGTCTGATTAGGTAAATGGTATTGTCTTTGTAACAAAATTATCATATTTATCGAGTTTATAATGATTTTGTTGGATAAACCTTCCCACACTGACATTGTTGACAGCCGTGGGTGACGCGTAAGGGCGTGAGAAGACACGAAGGATGTTTGAAAATACGTGTTCATAAGCAGAATCTGAACTCAAAAACATTCAAAGAAAACGACCCAATGCCTAAATAATGCAGATCATGAAACATTATCACAATATTTGTAATTGTACCCACCCTTGATGAAACCGAAGCACATACGGCTTGGCACTCATGGAGGTAAAATAGGCACGAGTTGGAAAACGACCATTGATACATTTTCTAAGTTGGTTCAAATTCCCGTAAAATCCAAAATATATAATAGAATTAAGTTTTCAATCACCTTCAATTCGTTATTGTCAGCTGTTTTCAACAGTAGTTAGCATTTTTTGCTTGCGTTGTACATTTTGTCCCCTCAATATTGCCGCCGGTGAGTAGATGAGACGCCGCAAGAATGGACGACCCATGGGAATTGCCTTGCATTCAAAGTTTAGCTTGCACAGTATTGACTGCAGCATATGCAGTGTAACTTTCTTGGATGGTGCCTCTAAAAGCTGCGACAGCTCATGGACCAGTTGTGCTATCTTGTCCTTAGGTATTCTGATTTCACCCCTAGCCATGTCTATGGTGAGGCCCAGAAATGTAAGACAAGTTGTAGGGTGTACTGTCTTCTGGTGAGGGATAGGCACGCCCAGATTATCAGCAAGTTGCAAAGAGGTGTAAGCATGTTGGAGGATTTGCTTAGGTCCACTGCCGCCAGGATAAAATCACCAAGGTAATGAGCGATGTCCTGGCTGCGTGTAGTGACTTTGATAGCCCATTCAATGAAGGTGCTGAATGGCTCAAATAGAGCACAAGAAATGGAACAGCCAAAGGGAAGACATTTATCATTGTAAAATTTTCCCTGAAACTTAATGCCGAGTAGCTGAATGTCAGATGGTACCACAGGCAGGAGATGAAGGCTGATTTGACATCGAGTTTGACATGTACGAACCCCTGCCCAAGCTTTGAATCATGGCTACAGCCTGGTCGAAACTGGCATACTGCATTGTACATGCTTCCTGTGGTATAAAATCATTGATTGATGCGATAGACGATGGGTGAGGCGGAAGGCAGCCACGCCATGAACTGATGAATCGGCTTTCTTAGGCACCAAGCCGATAGGGGACACTATAAGAGAGTGCACTGGTCTGTGTGGAAATGGACCCGCCATGCGACCCGACTGAATTTCTTTTTTGCAGCTTTTGTTCCACTATTAGTGGCTGTTCCCTGGCACATTTAAGGTTGACAACGTCCTAAGTGACCCGGGGCTCTTCATAGTTTAAGCTGAAACTCCTACTGAAACCCTATTGTAGTAACTGAGCTGCTGCTGGATTGCACTTATAATGCCTCAGCCACTGTTCCAAGCAAACGATGTTTATTGGAGTTGGGGCCGTGTGAAATAGCTCTGCCTGGCAGGGTAGCATGTTGCTTAAGAGTTTGCGTGGGGACTGTGTCCCTTTTGCAACGGAAACAAGACGAGGCGCCATGCCCGCCTATATTACATCCCGAGCACCTGTGTGCATAACAGCACATCTGACCCCTATCTAAAGCGCCACAATTAAAGTTTCTACATACCTCAGAAGACGTGCGCTGCTGAGTGGGAAAATGCCTGCTGTTTGTGGTTGGGGAACATTAACTGCAGCCACAAATGTCCGTCGATGGCACCCCACGACCGAGATGGATCACCAGCAGTCGGCGAGGCGGCCCCGCGTATCGTCTCCATGTACGAGAGCATTTGTTGGATCTTATTTACATCCGCCTGACGCTCTATTACCACGCTGATGTATGTCAAGAAAGCAGATGTCGAAAACCCAGTGCTTAATTGACGTATAGACTGCTGCTTGGGTTTAAAAACTACCTGTCCTGAAGTGTCAAGCTCCATTGTGAAGTTGGAACCCTCCTGTGCTGCCTGGTTCTCTGAAGGCAATAGGGACCTCATGTCTATAAATTGGTTGGCCTGAAGGTCAGAAGCGGGTGCCCCCTCTGCCTGGCGCCTCGCAACCTTCGGGCGTCCCCTGACCACAGCGTGGTTGATGGCTGCCTTACACTTGGTTGGCATGACGAGTAACACGGAAGATTGTGAAGAAAGTTGAACAATTATATTAATCAATCGAGACTGCAGAAGAAAAGGACGGAAAGCGAGAGTGAATGCGAATTAAGTGTTAGGTTAAATCAGAATTTTTATAATATACCGGAATTTTAGCGAGAATCAAGAAATTATTAGAGATGAAGCAGGATGGTGAAGCTGCCAGGACAGCATGCAGAATGGAAAGGAAACGGACGTGACGTGTGACTGCGGATGTGACATCACTCCGGAAGTGACGTAGCTGATATTATGGAATGCGGAAATAATACACTGTCATGTGTGTTGCTGCACTGGATACTTATCGTAAGCTGAGTGTATGAAGCTATGCGAAGGAATTGTAAATGCTGCCCATCACCAATTTAGCGGAATATGCCACCTTATTACCTGAAGGTTGAGACAGATGTTTAACGAAATACACGGCATACCATGTTAGCTGCAATGCCGAAACGAACGTGATTAGAAATGACACAATTCGAGGTGAAGTTACATACCCGAGTGTATTTCACTTAGAGTGTTAGAGCTGTACCAATGTAAATGCTGCCTATAAACCCATTTAGTAAAATAATGCTAGATGTCATTATGTCGATTTGCCATGACCATTTTTGGAACATGTCATTTGAATTTTGCACTTAAATTAATTCATAAGACAAATAAGTCGAATATTGTAGAATATTTCAGACTGGTGATACAGAACGAAATTATTGTTTTTGAAATATGCCTTTTAACGTTCCCAAATTCATCATCACATACGATTCATTCTCATATACGATCACACCTTGTTCATGATCACAAAATACTATTTTAATATTAAACTTACTGATGTTCGGTTTACTTTGAATTCATCGAGAAAATAACTGTTTTCGAATTTACGAAATGCAACTGAAATACTATTATTCTGACAATGTGTCAATGACAATGTGAGTTGTATTGTTAAGAAAAGGCAAATTTGCAGAAATTAAAAGACGAAAACTCCTGTCGTCACCATGTCACATTTCAGTTGTCGCATCATCGCACTACCACTCATAATTCTTACTTTATGTTCTAAAATTGTAAATACAGGCCAAACTATGGTTATACTTGCGAAATATACAGTTCTCAAACAGGTAACAGTAACACTTGCAATGGTTCATACATGCATCTGTAAACGAGATGTTGCAACTAGGTTTATGCATTATGCACATAAATCACAGCCAAACTATTGTGAAACATGTACTTAATTTACAAGAACATTCAGCAAATAGTACGTGAGTTTGGTTCAATGCCGCCTTGAAATATATTTCTTTCGCCTCATCAATTATACTTTAAAACATAATTTACAGTCTCACTGTATATTGTATTTAATATCAATTCCTACAGCCTCCAATCATATGGGTTATCTCTTTTAACACTTATTATTACATTATTGCGTATGTGTACATTTATTACTCAGTCTGTGTGGAGGGAAAGTACGGTCCGATTTGTGCCAGATACTGCAGCTCCAGACAGTGCAAGGTATTCTCTTCCACGTGTGATCGTATCACTGGAACCTGTGGTGATGTCGGATGTAATGACGGATGGATGGGGGCGGATTGCTCCACAGGTAATGTAGTGTCATTTCACGGTTCATTATTCATCAGTCAATATATAGTCAAATAGCCCTTAAACATTTTCAATATGTTACCAAGTCTACCTACCCGTATCCCAACGGACACAGTCGACCTAAAGATATCACATAGGCGTTGTGGCAATTTTTTTCGTGGTCAATGAGCAGCCTTGGAGCTGTTGCAATATCTTTTCACGCTCAACAACCGGGTTCGATCTAGCAAGGGAATCATTTCCAGGTGCTATTTTGTGCTGTCTTGTTACCTTATCGCTAAAAGATAGCAGAAACATTAAAATTGAATGATTAGACTGAAAAATGCGGCTGTCAATATTTTCACAGCAGATGCCTACAAAATGATAAAACGCAAACTGGAATTGTATGCATAATGACAACGTTACAACGTAATCTCCAAGGCGACAAAGTCGTCCCTACCAGATGATTAAGAGGTATTTTGACCATTGGCTAGAGAACATTAACACCCAGTGACACGTGAAAATCCGGGTTAGAGTTGGTTTTCAACAACCCACGCTTGTTGTAAGAGGTGACTAACGGGATAGAATGGTCAGGCTCGCTGACTTGGATGACACATGTCATCATATCCCATTGGCGTAGATCGATGCTAATGCTGCTGATCACTGGATTGTCTGGTCCAAACTCTATTTACAGACCGTCGCCATATAGCTGGAATATTGCTGAGTGCAGCGTTAAGCAGCAACCAACCAAGCAGCCAACCAACCGACCAACCTTCATATGATACGCCGACATAAAGCTCGAATATTGCTGAAACAACAACCAACCAAAAATAAGCATACGTCTTCATAGTCCTAACAAACATAGTTTGTAACTCCTACACAAGTGCTTGTTCAAATGGTGAAAATGTTTTGGAGTTAACAAGTACTTTGTTTCCTATTATATATTGTTGCATTGTCACCGCTTGAGGATACCGGAAATCATCTTCAAATATCAGTCAGAAATTCCATTTTGTTCCTTTTTTGTTTTTGTTTATCGTCACAATTGTTCCGCTGTATGGCGATGGTCTGTATATAGTCGAATCCATCGATCTATGCAATTGGAATACGAACACGAGGACATTTGTCTACCAAGTTAGAGAGCCTGACGATTGCCGTTATTAGTGATTATACTTTGCGTCCCCTCAAATTCATATGGGTTATCTCTTTTGAAGCTGAATACTATTATTGTTATTTCATATCCTGCTCAGAGTGTTCCACTGGAAAATACGGTGCTAACTGTGCCAAGGACTGCAGCTCTAGACACTGTAAGACGTCTTCCAGCATTTGTAACCGAATCAGTGGAGCCTGTCCAGATGATGGTTGTCAGGACGGATGGATGGGAGCAGACTGCAGAACAGGTAATGTTGTTACAAGATCTGAACCGGGCCTCCAAGAAGAATGCTTAGCTCAAGTGACGTTATCGGACGGCTGATATTTGTCTGGTTATTTCTTGTAGCGATGTGGTAAAATACGCTATTGATATGACGTCATTGATCCTGAGCGATTATAAATGAGTGTGCCCATTGCCCACTAGGCTGAAAGCTTGATTTACTATTCCACCTCAGTTTAGTCTGTATGACTGTAATGTTAAATGTTGATTTTACTTCATGCATACATCTCTTGTGATTTATAAAGAAGTTTGATTTAAAGTTATGGTAACGTTCTCTCTAGCCGTCATGTTAGAACATTTTATTGTGAAACAGAATAAATTCGAAAAACATACAATTAATCAATGCAACTAAAATGGATAGTAATTGTCTTCATCATCCTACACATCCAAATAAACGACAACACATTCTCATTCAAACCACGATGCCCATTCTCCGACTGGTTTGATTTACAGTTTTATTACTCTTTCTCAAAGTATACTTTTCAATTTCTAATGATAACACGTCATATCTAATTTAATGTCGTAGCTTAGGGCTGCTAATACCACTATGCCATTCGGATATAAAGTAATATCAAACTATATAATCTGATATAAGTTTCAAACTGTTCACATGTTCATAAAGCCATGTGCACAAGGGAATTGGTTAACATGTTAAATGTTTCCACACTTACCATAACAGTGCAACGTGTATAACGTTTTTTTACACATGTTGGGCCTGGGAACCTAACAAGGTTTAAGTCAAACCTTTATCATTTACTCTGTGAGGTACTAACATACAGCTGTAATCACATTCACCTATGACATCTTGACCTACAAACTCGGCAAAACATCTGAAATATAACATCTTAAGTGTACAGCAGCAGGGCATTTAACCAGTGTCGATCACGCAACAATTGGATTCCATTTTTATCTTATGTCTTCATATTTTTATCACACTCATTGATATGTAGAGAGAAAAAATCAACATGATTGCACTCAACCAGCACGTATTTTAAGCCCCAGAACATGAAATATTCTTACTATTTTTTACATGTTTTTTCTGGAACAAAACAGCACAAGTATGTTTATTTCCCAGGAACAGTTGATTGTAATTACTTGGGTCAATTCTTATACTGATTTTGTGAACAGAGGTGATAATAGACTTTGACCATGGTTTATTGTTATAGTTTTTTTTACTTTCATAGAGTGCATTGTTTTTTTCCATATCTTGCTCAGTGTGTACCTCTGGAAAGTACGGTGCTAACTGCGCCAAGGACTGCATCTCCCGACATTGCAAGACGTCTTCCCCGACATGTCACCGAATCAGTGGCGCCTGCTATGCTGACAAGTGTGAGGAGGGATGGAAGGGGGTGGACTGTACTTCAGGTAACGTGGTAACATTTATGACTAGTATCACAATTGCTATAGTCTACATGGGAATATATAATGCTCATTCAAATATTTCTCGGACCCTTATGGTAACTGCATTTTATCGCTGAACAGTCCAATTCGATTCCAAAAGGGTCACTTCTTCCCTTGTCATTTGACCGTTCAGGATTCCACCATCGACGACATTACTTACCGAGGATAACATCAATGACAATCGACGACATTACTTACAGTGAGAATGCGACAGGAATTAATAGCACATTGGAACAGACTTTGGAAATATAACGCCTCTGTTCAATGTATACATTGTCGTTTCAGTTAGTGGCTGCAATTTCAAGAATACAGTTTAGTTGTCTGTCTTTCTTATTGTGGCAAAACTGAAATAAATTGGTATTATATTTGCCTTCTAGGCCTAAAGACATTCCTTTTGAAATGATCCGGGTTGGTCATGTCTATTTGTACACACTAACCTAGTCATACAGTCAGAGGAATCTACCAACATGTATGTTATGTCACTTAACGTGTCCTCCACACAATCACATAATATCATCAATAACCCAGGCAGATCCATTATTCTTAATCATTGTTATTTGTCATCATACCATGTATACGTGTCGGTGTCTTCATTGTAAACATGTATCTACGTGTTATAAACTTCTGGCTAAAATTGTCAGATTGCCAGAACATCGTTTGGTCAAACACTGTTATTAAACGTTAAAAAAAAAGATTGATTGTCAAGCTTAAAACATTGGGCACCATGCGTCCGATTTATGTTATTTTCGAATGGCTTTGCATACTTTTGGCAAGCTCAGAATGTTGGGGATGTGAAAGGATTCATTAGCATATTCAAATTAAGAATTAAGGATGTATGGATGCAAGTCTGCTCGTGTGCATAAATCTTCAATGTTAACATGCTTATGTACCTTCAAGACCACCCTCCAAATGGAATCATCTAAATTGCCTCGTTTCAGACAATAATATCTTCAACATAAGATCTGCAGTCTGTCGGCAGTTCACCTTTATGTCTCTTTTAACAACCTTATTGGATGTGAGTTCGTTTGGGGCCACTCGCAGTAGATACACGTCTCGTATATTCAATCCTATCACCTGTCCTGACATAATATACATTTGAATATGACAGTTCGGTATTCTAGAATGCACCTCCGGGTATTATGGAACTAACTGTGGAAGAGACTGCACTCTTCGTAACTGTAAGGGGGACTCCAGCTGTGACAGGAGACAAGGGCAGTGTGAAGGTGGATGTGCGGCTGGGTATAAGGGAACAGATTGTACTGAAGGTATTTTCACACATAAGCAGCGATGTTTGTCAATATATACGTTGGTAGCACCATGACAACCTGTCTCTTGCCAAAATATATCAATTTGGGACGAATGTTACTGAGCTGCGTTGGTTGAACAATATTACGACGTACAAATTCTACCACTAACATCAACGAGAACATGTGTACTCTCTATGGTTGTCGGTTTTTTTACATCAAACATTCCGAACTTAGTTCATGTGTATCTTCCAGAATGATTGGCAATTCCTGTAATGTACACAACATATGTTATAATGTCAACCATCTCAGTTCACAATTGGCTTTTGTTTGTTTTCTAGTTCGTTGTTCAACGTCGCGCTCAGAAGTATTCCAGCTATATGGCGGTGGGTTGTAAATAATCGAGTTTGGACCAGACCATTCAGTGATCAACAGTATGAGCTCTCGCAATTGGGATACGATGACATGTGTCAACCAAGTCTGACCACCCGATCTTGTTAGTTGCCTCGACAACCCTGGGTTGCTCAAGAAATTCTAGTCCGGATCATCACGTGTTTACAAATTACTTTCACACTTACACGAGCTCCACTTGTATGTATTTCAGCGTGTACCGGTCTGATGTACGGTCCTAACTGTGTGAGTTACTGCAGTGCCCGACATTGTAAAACAAACTCATCTACATGTGACGGAGTGTCAGGAGAGTGTCTTGGTGGCTGCGAAGATGGGTGGACAGAACTAGACTGCTCCAGAAGTAAGTTACACAGCACCATTTGTTTGTATTTCCTTTGTTGATCATGTGACCAATTGGTTAAGGCAAATAGGTAACTCAGCGGAAACTGAATTTGAACTTATTCGAGGAAATTATATACCATTCAACGTTTCAAAATGCACTATATGTTTTGTTGATTGTTGATAGCTGATTGCTGCAGGATAACGTTGCATACACATTTAGGAGTTGCATATCTTGATGGTATCATCTGTACTAAACTGCAAGTAAGATGTGTACATCTTTAGTTTAATGCCCTACCCGACATGCTCTCATACTATTCACACTTGCTTATTGGGTGTGAGTGACAAGCGTGTATGTCCTGAATCGGACAGCCTACATTTAGCACTGACATGATTTCATAAAGGGTACTGTAAATCGACAAAGTTTCGCGGGCAGGAAAGTTTTGCTGGTAATTGCGAATGAACTCCAGGCGCGAACCTTTCAAGGCGTAATGATGTCTCTCATTTTGTTAGGCAACTATTCCTGGTCCATGTAAATTACGTGATCAAACAATGTCAAGAAGTCAAGATGTTCGCCTACCGGCAATATTCCTCAACACCATGTACTTACTTTACAGCAATCACTAACATAGTTGCGTTTACTCACATCTCGAAATGAAGTGTAGTTGACGGTAAATGGATGCACATACATATTTTGTTTCGCCAAAAGTCATAATTAGTGTAGCTGAACGATCATATTTCAACAAACTCTTTTCACAGTGGAAATATCGACATCGCACGAAACCTCATCGGTGACAGGTTAAATTGTTCCATGCATAAAAGTTAATACACCAAAAAGCTGTCGCATAACCTTAGTTATGATTATAATATTTTACATTTGTAGAGCACAATCTGCAATGAAAATGACACAATACTAGAATATATTTCTGTTTATAAAACAATAGTTTTAGATACTATCTTTTTAAGATCACTGCATCACAATTCATCTCGGTATGTTATCGGATACGTTTTAACTAAATTACCGGTAGGGGAACGTGTGCACAGCACAGCTGATTGTTATTTCTTGCGTTGTAAACAAGACAATTACACACGGTAATCTTAATCCCTTAGTTATGATTATAATATTTTGCATTTATAGAGCACAATCTGCAATGAAAATGACACAATACTAGAATATATTTCTGTTTATAAAACAATAGTTTTAGATACTATCTTTTTAAGATCACTGCATCACAATTCATCTCGGTATGTTATCGGATACGTTTTAACTAAATTACCGTAGGGGAACGTGTGCACAGCACAGCTGATTGTTATTTCTTGCGTTGTAAACGAGACAATTACACACGGTAATCTTAATCCCTTAGTTATGATTATAATATTTTGCATTTATAGAGCACAATCTGCAATGAAAATGACACAATACTAGAATATATTTCTGTTTATAAAACAATAGTTTTAGATACTATCTTTTTAAGATCACTGCATCACAATTCATCTCGGTATGTTATCGGATACGTTTTAACTAAATTACCGGTAGGGGAACGTGTGCACAGCACAGCTGATTGTTATTTCTTGCGTTGTAAACGAGACAATTACACACGGTAATCTTAATCCCTTAGTTATGATTATAATATTTTGCATTTATAGAGCACAATCTGCAATGAAAATGACACAATACTAGAATATATTTCTGTTTATAAAACAATAGTTTTAGATACTATCTTTTTAAGATCACTGCATCACAATTCATCTCGGTATGTTATCGGATACGTTTTAACTAAATTACCGGTAGGGGAACGTGTGCAGCAGCACAGCTGATTGTTATTTCTTGCGTTGTAAACGAGACAATTACACACGGTAATCTTAATCCCCTTAGTTATGATTATAATATTTTGCATTTATAGAGCACAATCTGCAATGAAAATGACACAATACTAGAATATATTTCTGTTTATAAAACAATAGTTTTAGATACTATCTTTTAAGATCACGTCAACAATTCGACTTGATACAAGAGGAGGACTCGCAAAACAATCACGACGTATCACGACGTAGAACTGACTGGGTTGTTGACCATGCCAAACATTGACGACGGGGAACTTTGTCGATTTACAGTATATTTTGGAAGCACACCATGATATTTTAAGCCTTTAGTTCCAATTATTCTCCAATAATATATACTATAAACAAACTTCAACGTTTTGCTCTTTAGACTGCCAGGATGGCTATTATGGCCAAAACTGTTTCATGAAATGTGATGACAGACATTGTACCAATGCATCCTGTCCTGGCGACGGAGCATGTAGTGCTGAATGTGAGCCGGGCTGGACTCTCCGGACTGCACACAAGGTAAAACGAGTTTTCAATCACATGAGTTGCATACACGCACGAAACAAATGTCCCATATAACACATATCTGTCACACCGTCATGTTGGTGGGAGTTTGCTGAGTGCGGCCATAAACAACAAAAAATCAACTAAACACAATCTGTCACAAGGGAGCGGACGTGAAGAATATCATAATGTAACTTGTGGTTTTGTTTTGTTGTTGTTTAACGCCGCGCTCAGAAATATTCCAGCTGCATGGCGTCGGTCTGTAAATAATGGGGTCTGGATCAGACAATCAAGTGATCAACAGCATGAGCATCGATCTACGCAATTGAGATACGATGACATGCTCAACCAAGTCAGTGAGCCTGACCACCCGATCCCGTTAGCCGCCTTTTACGACAAGCATGTTTGCTGAAAACCAATTCTAACCCCAATCTCCATGGGTCTGGACTTGTGAAAACAGGAATTATAATTTTTTGTTGTCCAACATGTGTGCGTTGATTAATATCTATAGTCTGAAATAACTAAAATTTAATCAGAAAAGCCTTTAAATTGGCAAATGTTGGAGGCACCTGAGTAAATTAGAAATATAGTGAGAAGGATTTGAGATGATTTGGGGTGTTGAAGCTGATTTCAAGAGAATCGCGATGACGATACGTCCGTCTATTAGAGATTTGCTTCTATTAGAAATCGGCACTCACATCGCAAATGCGGTACTCTCATCTTCAGTATATGGTATTTTGTCATGTCTAACCATGTCTGGAAATGAAGTACTACTGACGGACGGAGGAAACATGGTCCTATATATTGCTTCTATTTTATGGCGGATGGTAAAGAGTCATCAAAATATGACATATCCCCCCGGCTCCCGCATATTTGCAAAAGTCATATGAATCGTATGCCTTTAAAGAAAGTCATAGATCACTGTACTGTGTCCAAATCCATCTTGTTTTCATTGAAACGATAGAAAAAATCAGAACTCTGACCACTTCAGTAATTGGATAATACACATACAACGTTTCAAAAAGATGTCTATAATGAACAGCTGGATGGGTCTGAGTATAAGACTTGTTCAGAAGTGCCAATGCCGGCTAGTGCCTATATATAAGCGCGCGTAGGTTCGTACAGTGGTACTAAGACAGTATAACATGTATGCTCAGCGCTAAGCACTGATACTGTTATTGAACACACCTCATGAAACGATTCTAGGAAACTAGTCGGCCTTCCGCTAAATTCCAGGAAAATTTAAGGGTGCTGCTAAAATGGAATGCCTGTTTAGATTCTGCAATTCGAAATTATGCACGGAACTAGTACAAGTGTGCTCTATGTAAAATTGTTTTGAATTGAAAGTGATCAGTTTATTAACGTTTTTGATCAGTAAAGAGACAGAATGTGTATAAATTAGAGATTTATAGAAACCTCGATTTTTTTCATTAACTATGAAGTAAAGTGGGACGAATATTTCCGATTACCTACATGGCCACGTGGTTCCTAATTTGATGCAGCTATGTTTATTGGTCATTTGGAATTGCAAAAATACAAAGAGACCAAATATTATTGGATGAAAGTTCATTGTATGTAATCCAAGTGTATATTACAGAGACAAATTCAGCCTGATTAAAAGGCCTCCAACCAATAAGGATCGCGGAGCATGCACGGTTTTTTGGTATCTTTTGACATAATTAAATAATGTTTCTATCTGAAACGTAAATCAACGATGCTTTACTTGACCAGTTGGCAATCTTAGACTGAGGGTGGATTGGTGTTGATGGATGTTTTTTTTATATTTTCAAAGATGTTCTTTTCCACAGAGTGCTCCAGTAGAACGTATGGCATGAACTGTAACAAAACCTGTGGCCAGTGTGCTAACAGCGACACATGCCATCATGTTACTGGGATCTGTGCTGATGGATGCGATGCAGGGTGGCAAGGTGAACTGTGTCAGAAAGGTGAGAAGAATCACAACTGAAACTGCATGAACTTCATTGTCCTCTTTACTGAAAACAACTTCAGCCGACTTACTAAGGGAAAACTATTAAATGTGATCTCAGAGCAATATTAAGAGTCTTAAACTATCTATCCATTTTTGTCTTAGGTTGTGGCAAAGGCACATTCGGGTCGAACTGTAAGAGTCACTGCGGCAACTGTAACGGGACATGTAATGTTGTTGATGGAAGATGTCTCTGGGGTTGTACCGAGGGATACAATGGTTCTCACTGCTCTGTGAAGCTTCGTAAGTACACCTCATATAGATCCTTAGAAATGACTTTAACCTCACAGATCAGCTGCTGGTATGAGAAATGGTTTATATTTCTGAAGTACTATGGAGCCATATTGGCTATTTAAGTATATTTACAAATATTAATACATTCAAACATGAAAATCAATTTGTGTTTCACCCTTCATTGTCGTAAGACATTTCACCCCACTGTACTAAATAGGAATATTGCATGTTTGAGTATGGAATATGTAATATATGTGCACACGTGTCGTGATTTTAATTCAAAACTATGTGGAAATGACTAATTCTCCGGTGAATCTGAGTAAGAATACGGTAGTTGTATTACATGTTGTAGTTGAATTTGACGAGATACATACTGCACACAACTCGTATTTCAGCTCCTCGAAATGCACCAGACCAGTCGGAGTTTACTGTAGCAGCTGTGGCGGGAACAGTCGCAGGTTTACTTGTTGCGATAGTAGTCATTGTTGCTGTTGTCCTCGTCAGAAGGTAATTTATAAACTCACCCACACTTACTCAGCTCAACAGATATTTCACACCATTTCTAATTCTATACACCGATTATAAGCGGGCTATTTGATGTTACATCTGAGATCTAATGCAATAGAAACTGGACACCAATGTAGGTACCGATAAACTACATGAAATAGAGCCCCCCAAAACGGTTACACCTGTTTGGGCTGTCAGTCCAGATTTGAAGAGGTCGTTTTTGAGACGATGCCGTATTGGCAACTGCAGATACTCACATGAGTATGTATTATAAGAGAAATATATCCTCCGTTTTATTATCACGAATCTTGTGGGGGGGATAAATATGTCTAGAAAAAAAAACAGTCAATGGAGGTTTTACTGATGTTAAATTTAGTTTTTAAAAGACATCGAATTGTTTTTGAAAATTTTGATTACTATGGTTTGTAAAAGAAAATGTTGTTTTAGAATGGACAGATTCAATAAGCAGCAGAGGTAATAGTGGCTGTATCGTGAAAGGCAATTAAAATGTTGTAAATGTATTGCCCTCCCGAGAGGGTAAATAATGAGTGAGTGAGTTCAACAGCTGAGGGGATGATGTAAATCTAGTAACAGTCCGTTTGACACAAAATGATACCGATGAAGTGCAATGTAAAACACAAAAACAATTAGACATAAAAGAATCAAACCGACGCGGAGTGCAATAAAAACAACAGACCAACTCTAGAAAGAAATTGCATAAGTTTGGTCACATAAAGAAAAAAACTTGTATACAAAACTGTCATCATTTATTTGTGAATTTTCTAAGTTTGTTACAAGGGCGCATTAGCAACTAAAGGAACAGCGCGAAAAACGAGATGCACGTGCATTATTGACGTCAGAGACATGTGATTACTGCTGATTGACAAAGTGAAGGAAAATGAAAGTCTATTATTTACAAAGTCTATGATTTTTTCAAGGATGAAAATGACGGGGTGACCCAAGTATGCAATTGCTAAGTACATACAGCGCACTGCTTGTGCAGCTGGGGAACGTGTCGTCTCGCCAGCTCAAAAAATTGTTCAGAACCCGTTAACGCACGTGCATCTCGCTTTTCGCGCTGTCCCTTTAGCTGCCAATGCGCCCTTGTAACAAACTGGGAAAACGCACAGATAAATGATGAGAGTTTCTTAAACTTTTTATTCTTGTGACACAAATTATGCAATTTTTTTGTAGAGTTGGTCTGTTGTTTTTATTGGGCCTCGCGTTTGTTTGATTCTTTTATGTCTATTTGTTTTTTGTGTTAGTTTGCAATTCATCGGTATCATTTTGTCTCAAACGGACTGTATGCTTGGTGCAGTTAGTAAAGGTCCACATAGTTCCTAGTATGGTGATCTATCTACCTTCAGGTGCTTGCGATCTGTAGCCAATGTTTATATTGTACTGTCGTGTCAAGAGTGATTTACGGTACAGGATTCTTTTAAATCGTTATCGGTGATATTCTAGATGTTCTACTGTCCATCCTCGACATATTTTATCATAGAGCATTATTTATTATCAATGTATGTCATGTTTAGTCAAGGTATACTGAAACAGTGCCGATGTGACGGTAAATCTTAACTCACTCACTACAACAGACTAGTATGGGTTTGTGTATGTATATTCAGTTTGTTCACCCGCCGTTTGGTCTCAACTGCTGCACACTTTTATACAGCGTTCTGTAAGTTGCAGTGGTGGTAGATAGAGGTCATGGGGTTTAACATTTGCAAACCTGTTCGTAAAATGATTAGAATACATGGTTATGTGATAACATAAAAAGAGTTGTAGAAATTTTGGCTATCATGAATTATATTTCGATAACTGGATCGTGACCATATGTTTGAAAAGAATTCCCACAATCAAATGCACAAATCATTGATTGTAACAGAAAACAGCATGTACTGCAACGCACACGAATGTTTATAACTGTTCACAAATAAATATGCCACAGCCTAAAAACAAAATAAGTAAAGCACATTGACGGTCACATACCGTTGAAAGTCTACCTTATTTGTTTTGTACAAATGTCTTTCTCGGGATCTTTGCGACAAGGCAGTGCAGGATGTTGAGGTTTAGGTGTATGTACGAATTCACATTGCAAAGCCTTAAATTCTTCTTTAGCGTTTCTGACCTTATAACACGATCGGTATGATGTCAGCCAATGTCAGATCGTGTGACAAATACCTCTTTGTGACTTTGGTTCTTCTGGCCGTTGGACAATACTGTCCATTTGTTAACTGTTTCTACATGTACCAGTTAATGATGCAAGTTTTCTTTTGTATTTGTTTCCGTCCCAGATGCGCAAGTAATGAGACAGTCATGAAAAGCTTGTTTACTTTGGAGACGTTACTGCTAAAAAAGTAATTTTGTTTCGAGTATGTTAGTATCGTGTAACGTTTTCTATGTCTTTGATGCAGGAGGAGACGGCGGTTTCAACGATAGTGAAATAAACAAACAAGTTGAGTTTCACCCTAAAGCACATAGTAAAACAACAACAAGGTATGACAAACATTTTCGCAAACATTTTCGTCCCAACATTTTTTCATCAATTACTGTATAGATAAAGTTCATTATAATGAAGGATTGTTACTGAATGTACTGCAGGTGCTAAATAGTGCTGTTGTAGTTTTCGGGAGTAAGCATATGTAAATATTTCAACAGAGTCTTTGAGACAGACAAGATGTATATATGGCAGGGCACATAAAAAAACAAAAGGTAAATATTTCAGATGTACATATGCACATATTAAAATGCCTGGGGCCTCCTTGCTATCATTTAACTATTATTACTTAAACGGTGTAAAATCCATCTCACTTTATTGGCCAATGGGATAGTTCACAAAGGTGTAACACCACGTGAATTTTATGGATGAACAATTGACATTCCCGAAATCCACTGGAATTAACTGGGTCAAGTGATAATGACAGTACATTTTCATACCTGTAGAGAACAGCATTTATGAAAACGTCACTCTAGATGAGAGCGCGGCAGTTAATCAGAAGCCAGCAATAAAGCCCAAACCTGCCACACAGGCCCCAGCAGGTAAGAAGCAGGATTCTAAAGATCAGGAGGAAGAAGACGTTGAGGAAGAAGTTCAATCTCCTGACAGTTGTTACTACAACGCAGGCGCCGATGACGCCGTAAGAGACGTCGCTGTGTCGGAACTAGCTGCAACGGTGGCAACACTGAAGGGGAGAAAAGATGGATTTGAGAAAGAATATCACGTGAGAATTGTCCACTTGTCACTACAATGCATCCATTTTTTTTCATTTGTTGTTCAGAGTGAATTATCAGACTTTCACGTGAGAATTATCCAGACTTTCACATGACAATTGTATATTTTCAGCACAATGCATGGCATATTCCGTTTGTCCAAGTGTTGTTCAAATTATCTCTTAACACGAAAAGTAATGCTTCAGGATTACAATGTTACAATGTATTTTATCTCCTAAAGTTTTGTCGCATTGTCATATTATCATACTGTTTGTCATATTGTCCTTACAGAGACTTCCAACTGGGTTTACGGCGCCGTATCAAGACTCCCAGAAACCCGAGAACAGTGGCAAGAACAAGTTCAGAGGCTACTACCCCTGTGAGTAAACTGAGATAAATGAATGTAATTGAACGCTGTAAGACTAGGGTTAAACTTTGATAGACGATGTAGGTAACAACAGATAATGCAGCTTGAGTCCAAATTTCAGACGACCACAACAGAGTCCGCCTAACGCCCCTCCCCGACGTCCCCGGGTCTGACTACATCAACGCAAGCTTCATGCACGTCTGTAGTTTACTCATATCTTCCTATCCTAACACTAAATGATGTATACAGTATTTGGAAGCACATTAATCCTAATAAAACAAAAATGAGACAATCAACTGAAAGGGTTGTCTGTGGATGCACTACATCAAGACCATCTTACAGAAAGGACTTGCAGACTAACAGATTTCCCTTACTGAGGAACATGCACGATGTGCGCAATACATCTGCGTGATGTGATTAAATCGGATGGCTATAAAGGTTTTACCTATACGACTTCCCTGTTTGTTTTTTTCAGAGCTACAACCAGGGAAAGACATATATAGCATCTCAGGGTGGGTTGTTTGTGCATTTAAGCTGACGTTGTTTTGTGTTGATTTCACAGTTAGTTTCGCAGTATATTCATAGTATAAGCTGGCACAGAGCTGATTAATGAATTGTAATAATAGCATTAAGAAACACCCAGTTGTGTAACCGTTTAATGTTTATCATTGGAATGGATTTAGGAATCGTGGTTCTAAAGTGTGTCATTATTTGCCAACCAAATTAATATGTCTTTCTTTGCTTTGATAATTTCATGTATGTAGCACCCAACAAGAAGACCGTAGGAGACTTCTGGCGGATGATCTGGGAACATTCCTGCAGCCATGTGGTCATGTTGACTGGTCTCGTGGAGGAAAGTAGGGTAAGATTTCATGTTGTGTTCCATTCCATTCCAAATTTGGCCAAGGCAAACCAACAAAGCATAGTATGTTAACATCGATGGTAATTTCAATGGATTCTCATTTTAGGTGAAATGTGAACGATACTGGCCGACAGATAACGTAATGGAAACTGGTGGTTTGAAAATAATGGTTGAGGAAACACAGACCCGTGCGAACTTTACAACGAGACACCTGAAAGTCACGTCCACAGTGAGTGCTGACAAGTCGATTCCACTGCATGCGTTCAACTATCCATTTTATATGAACCAATATTCCTGCAACACAAGTTGTTGATAATCATATTTATGCAATAGATCCTGTTCTATTTTCGATGATTTCAGACCAATTTGTTATGATGAGGACATTTCCAACTTTGACACCACAGTGACAAAATTATGCCAGACTCAGTTCTGTTTTGCCCAGGACTATATGTTATTTAATAGAACACTTGAGATGCCAAGGATTACTTGTTTCCACTTTTCATCAATTACTGAAAGGGATCTATAGACGGTGACTTATGATTTGGCCTGAATTAAACAATGAACTCCGCTTTAGCAAAGACGTCTTATGATTATAAAACGATTTTGTCTTTGTTTTCGCATTCATTTAAATCAATAAAGGATTTGAGCAATTGCATCCTGTGTTTGATATTTTGTTTGTTGCAAAGAAGAAGATATAACCATTTGGTGTTACAGACTGGAGAGTGTCGGTCAGTCATCCAGTTCCACTTCACATCCTGGCCCGACCACGGTGTTCCTGACACCCTCGCCCTGGTCAACTATATATGGTTGGTCCGGCGGACAGCTGCAGAAACAGATGGACCGCTGCTTGTCCACTGCAGGTACGACAATCTTTAGTCGCACAGGCACTCGGATTACTGTTCGACGGCTGTTGTTAAGACAGGTAGTCTTCATACTGAAGTTTCCATCTTGGCCGTTCGTTAGATATGTGAATATGAGTTCTTAGCGTATGTACGCACATATTGGGCTTCATGGGTTTGGATCATGATAACATAATACTTCTCTGGAAAATACTTTGGGACGGACGTTTATGGATAGATTTCATTGGAAACTATTCCATAATTTTGCTAGTTTTAACTGCAATAATTCAGCATAACACAGGTAAACGACGTGATGCTACACACAATCAAGGATTCTGAGAAAGTAATGACCGACTGTTGCATCCCTCTGAACACTTTCAGTGCCGGTATTGGACGTACAGGCACATACATCGCCATTGACTCCCTGATAGACCAGGCCCGAGGGGAGGGGGTGGTGGATGTCCTGGGGTATGTGTCAGCCATGAGGGGTCAGAGGAAGAACATGATACAGACTCCGGTAGGTGGACGTAATTTGTCAAACACTTTCAGAAAGTTATCAGTTATATTTGTCATGACGAGGCAAAGTAGTGTGGTAAAATAAAACTCTCAGTTCTTGAACATTCTGCTTTTTTTCTGCTGATGGAAAGACGCACACGGAGGATAACATTTGTTGAAATTATATATTTTGCGAAGGGTTATATGTTCTCCATTATTCTCTAAATAGGAAAGCATGATTCGACATACTCTGCTATTTTACGACGAAGGAACTTGTCATCCCTTGATTATTTGGTTTATCTCAATAACAGGCACAATATGAGTGTGTCTTCCTCTGCCTTCTGGAGATGACGACATATGGCAGTACCAGCATGGACGTCTCCAACTACACGAACAGCTACAGCAGCAGCGGCATGGACACCACCGTGGACGGCAAGACTTTAAGTCAATTATCAGAGGTCAGTGTTGAAAATATTTAAAGGGGAGGTGTTGGGTGAGTAAGTATGCTTCTACGCCGCTTTAAGCAATATTCCTGCAATATGACGGCGGGGGCTTTCCACATTGTACCATGTAGGGGATCGAACCCGAGTCTTTGGCGTGACGAGCAAACACTTAAACAACTAGGCTACCCCACCGCCCCTGAAAAGATTCAAATGGTATCTTCGTAACCTTATTACTTTTCAGAATTACCCTCTCCAAAACTCAAATTGAGAAAAGCTTCCACGCAATGCGATGTTGATAAACTCGTGTCAGTTTGTTTTACTGTTCATTATATTGAAAATAACTTCAGTTAGAAACAAATGACATGAAGAGACAAAATATGTTTATTCAAAGACCCATCGTCATGTAACCATCATGAATTATTATTTCTTAATTATAGTAATAAACCGTCTGGAAACTGCATTTCGATACCCATTGTATACTTCTGGTCATGGTAGTGTCTCAATGGTGTCGAGCATGCCGCACATTTGTATAATACCGGAATGGTGTATATACCTTTCTTACTTTACTTCAATGATATTTCTAAAATTAGTTTTGAATTGAAACATCCATTATATCGAAGTTTATTCGACTGCATGTGTAGTATACATATCTGTGTTCACAGATGCTGATGTCAGAGGTGCGAGGAGGTAGGTTTACACATGCTGTCACTCAACTTCCAAAGTTATAAAAATCATTGAAAGCTCATCTTACGTTAAATTCAAATGTTAGGGTTCTGTTGTCTGTTGCAAGTCAGCCATAACAAGGGACTATCTGGTCCTCTCTATTTTTATTTGGAGTCCAAATCCATGGATTTGAACCCATGAATGTTAACACTGTGTATGGCAAATGAAAATAGTGCCTTCCATTGAATCAAGCCCCATACCTGAAGTTAGTCTACAGATAACTTCTACCCCATAATCTACCGGGCTGTCCCTAAATTAACACAGGATATGATTGTATCATTATTAAAATGAAGATCCGCCGTATTCTCTTGACCTGGATCTGTAGGAGATGATACGCCGACTGGTATTCTTACCATGTTAATACTTTACAGATCCTCCCGACCGACACAGAATGTGGGTGGATGGTAATCCTGAGTTCATTGTCCGTGTAGGACCGGTAGGTGGACAACATGCGGTAGCAGTATATCAGAGGATCTTTAAACTCATATTACCAACACGTTTCAAGACACATTTCTAAATTTGTAAGACAGAAAATAATGAAACATTCTTATTCTTGAACCTTATTATTCCGTCTTGAACTCAACACATGCGGATGCACGAAATTGCACTTCACTTTTATCTGAATGTACATGAACGTTTGAGATGGTGGGAGTAAAACAGGCATACTTGTAACATATGATTTCTTCCATCAACATATATCCATCTTTTCAGTCCCTGACCCGTCTAAAGGGGTACCTGCAAGCCACTGCACCTCCCCCGGGATTGGTAAAATTGTTGTGGAAACTGGTAGAAGAGAACAACGTCCACAACATCATCGTCGTCACGCCAAATGTATGTAAATTGAAGAATGTGAAATATCTGAAGAATGTTCTACATTGAATGATCAGAATTACACAACAGTAACATGTCTTTCATTCTGATGATATATTTCACTGAAGTAGTTCTTGATAACTACCTTTAGCTGCCATGCTATATTGTATCATGGCTGAAGTTGTTGTAAATCTGTAGCTATGATCTGTATCAGGTGGGAATAAAGACAGCATAACTTATTTGAATATTGATTCATTTGTATACATGTTTCATCCTATTACAGTTTTGAACATTTTCTATTCAAGATGGGTTTAGTCCAAGCAGAGGGAAGGTCAAAGACACATGGTGAGATTACCGTGACAACCACGAGTGAAACCAGCCTATCAACAGACCTTACCATGAACAACTTGCACTTAGCCACCAAGGTAATAAACCATCAGGTACATTATTAATACTCGTGAAAGCTAACATAATTTCGTAATAACCAAGTATGACAAACTAATGAAAGAAGATATAACATTAAGGATAAGAGAACTGGCCTTTGCTAATTTAATACTTAGTTTGGTTTGGTTTGGCTTAGTTAGTTGTTTTGTTGGTTTTTTTTAAAAATATCTCATTCAATATATTACATGGCAGACACCATGAGGCTGAGGTCATTATTATTAGTAGTAGTATTACTGCATTCATGAAAGGCCAATAATAGATAAATATTTGTGTACACAGACAGACAGGCCTCGCCAGGTGAAGATGATCAGAGTTAATGCACACTTGACTACAGAAATTGTGACATCCTATTTGTTGAATCATCCCCAACTGCAAGAAATATCAAAACAAACTCACCCAGTTGTTGTTCTTCACAGGTAAAATTGTCACTTTATTTGAAAGCAACTTTTGTGATGAAGGAATTGTATCTAAAAGCTAATAACTAATTTATTGAAATTATGATATTGCAGCGAAAACGACAGAAAGCTTGCCGTCTCTTTCTGCATTATGGGGAATATTCTCTCCGGTATTCGTGAGGACACTTGTGTTGACGTCATCGGCCATGTGAGAACAATCCTCAGATGTTGCCGTGACCTTCAGTTCAACGAGGTAGGGACAATATAGTTCTATTTACCCAAGATCATCAGTCACAATATAATATGATCTAAATCACATCTAACATATTTCAAAAATTATTCTCCCTTGCCATTCTTTCCAATATTTGGGTTTTTTTTCGAGTCTTTCAACGTTCTTTCTATTAAATATCTGCAAATATAATGAGGACAACATATAACAACCAGTATCTCTGACGATGACATAGCGTTGGTAATATCAGTCATATTTATTAAATGAACGGTACTATCGAATAACCTTACATGCTTTATTCAAACCATTTTGAACCAAACAAACAAACAGAGTGAGTAAGTGAGGTTTTAGTTTACGCCGTCTTTTAGCAATATCAAGGCGGGTGACACCAGAAATGGGCATCACACATTGTAACCATGTGGGGAAACGAACCCGGGTCTTTGGCTTGCCACGAAATCACTTTAACCACTAGACTTTACCAGCGCTCCACAAACAAGTAGACAAAAGAACAGATTCAGAATTTTGGGTGCCATTTACATAACTGTCTTTCGAAAACAGAAATTAATATTAGATTTTCTATGACCAAGACTGTTCCAAATGTTTTGACAGTGATTTGTGTATCCTTGCCATAACTAATGTTGATAGATTGTACGACACTATGGGTATTTATGGCGTAATGCGATATAGCCTTTGACATTGCCTCCAATCGTAGAGGGATGTGATGTTATCTATGGCCATCAAAACCATCACTGATCCGATATGAATCATTTCCATCGAGAAAACGCGTAAGCTGTCTTAGAGATCAAACTCCTTTTAATATCCTGGTTTTTTGTTTTTTTTTCTCCAGGATGATGTGCAGATGTTTCATGACTTTGCCCTGCAGTGTATTCTGAGAACAGATCCTTCAAATACCTATGCCAACATCTGAACTCAACACCAGACAGTCCCCACGGACCACATCACACCTACGAAAAGAACGAACATATTACCACATTCAGTCCCATAACAGCGACACCAATATATATCTATTAGTGAACACTTTCCTTATTATGCAGTGACAATGCCTTGAAATGAATCGTAGGAATGAATTACCAGTCTTGCCTCAAACATAAATACCGATTCTACGAGCAATCGATTCTTTGACGACCCTTGTTATTGAACCATAAGCATCTTTTTCAATTCAGGAACAATCGGTTGAGACATGTTGAATGTCTTGATTACATCGAAAACCCACTTACATGTACCTGTGGCAACAGCAACATATGTATTGAACATTATTCTCTATATTGCCTGTAACGCCCATAAGCAGTATTGTTGTGTATATAATAATAATATAATTTTGATACCATAACTTTACGTTGTTAATATGCACCAAAGTATAATATTTATAATTTGTGTTGTTGCACTACATGATATACCACCAATCATGCGGTGAAGGTGACACTATTTACCCCCAAATCAAATCAGTACGGACGTCGTTATATTTTCATATATGGACATTACGGTCTTTCCGTTATCACGTTTAGTAGTTTTAAATGATTATTCTGAAACTGATTTATCATGGTAGACGTGTAGAGGACATTTACATATGTGACGTATCAGTGATATACATGATTGATTTTGAAATTCCCTGTATGGGTATATTTTAAGTGAACTAGCTTGTTTCTCTTTCTTTGTGTCCCTAATTTGGTAATCTACCTTCAGTTGTTGGCGATCTATAGCCAGTTTTTATATTGTATTGTCCAAATAGTGCTATTAGTTTTAACTTTCCACACTAGTTTTAGTTGTAATTGTGATATTCTAGTTCTTTTACTGTCCTTCGTAGACAGGTTTTTATCATATACATATATTCTATTTCAATGTCAAATATGTTCTCGTCACGATATGGCTGAGATATTGCCGATGTGACGTTAAATATTAACACACTCACTTACTCACTCTTTCTGTGTGAAATCTAGATTCGCACTAGTTCAACAGAATTTCACATTGATTTGTACTAGTTCAACAGAATTTCACATTGATTTGTACTTGTTCCACAGAATTTCACATTGATTTGTACTTGTCACAGAATTTCACACATTTGTACTTGAATTTCACATTGATTTGTACTTGTTCCACAGAATTTCACATTGATTTGTACTTGTTCCACAGAATTTCACATTGATTTGTACTTGTTCCACAGAATTTCACATTGATTTGTACTAGTTCCACAGAATTTCACATTGATTTGTACTTAGTTCCACAGAATTTCACATTGATTTGTACTTGTTCCACAGAATTTCACATTGATTTGTACTAGTTCCACAGAATTTCACACTGATTTGTACTAGTTCCACAGAATTTCACATTGATTTGTACTTGTTCTACAGAATTTCACATTGATTTGTACTTGTTTCACAGAATTTCACATTGATTTTGTACTTGTTCCACAGAATTTCACATTGATTTGTACTTGTTCCACAGAATTTCACATTGATTTGTACTTGTTCTACATTATTCACAGAATTTGTACATTGATTTGTTCCACATTGAGTAATTCCACAGAACAGAATTTCACATTGATTTGTACTAGTTCCACAGAATTTCACATTGATTTGTTCCACAGAATTTCTAGTTCCACAGAATTTCACATTGATTTGTTCCACAGAATTTATTGTTGTTCCACAGAATTTCACATTGATTTGTACTGCTAGTTCCACAGAATTTCACATCGATAAGCACACGTTCCACAGACTTCCACATAGAATCGGACTAGTTGCACAACATTCCACATAGATTGGCACTGGTTCCAGATAATTCACATTGATTGGTATTAGTTCCACACTTCATCCGGAGAATATCACTTAGAATCGTTCCACTTCAACACAATTGCACATAGATTAGTACTGGTCGAACAGAATTTTACATGGATTCGAACTAGTGCCACAAACGTGAAATGAACTATATAGTTGTCGCACCCATTATGTCTTGTTCCTGCACCTCGTCAACGTGAAGTCATAAAGTATATGCTTTGACAGTTAACCAAAACGACCATCCATTAAAGATAGAGCTTTAGAAGCAGCTTGTGGCGTACCTTTGTTATGTATATCAGCCAAAGCTTTTAACTTGTCCTCTCACCCAACGTCTATAATTTTCGTACCTGAACACTTCATCAACATGAAGTCATAAAAATATATTTGAAAGTAAACCAACATCAAAATGTGAAGCTTTTGTCATATGACATTCAATATGTTGTAAATGTTGCTGATCACTGATTTGTAAGAGAAGAAATTCTGCATTTGTGCAATTACATCGTACGTCTATGGACTGCCAGATGTCAGGTATGGACATCGTATTTGTACGCGATGCATGGACACACTGAATGCTTGTCTTTACATCGTATTAGTTAAACATCAGTTATATAAATCTTGGATGCGCATCACGGATGGGGACATGAGCATCCCCTCTCCCAATTATCCTGTCAGGTGATATAGTCATTAGTTGATGATGTGTACAGGTACGTATAGCTGCTTAAACGTTTATGTTACTATCTGTTAACATGTCAAACTGTGTCAGCACATTAACTTGAATAAAATCTTATTTTTGTATCCATTATGTCTTTTGTTTGACAAGGAAAGAACGTTTATTTTTTACAGTAAATACAAACATAACATCCATCAAGGTTGCCTGTTTAATATTTCACAAAGCTTTTGAAATCTTACAGATGTTTATTATATATGGTATGCAAACACTGCTGCTAGATTTTCAACCATTGTATCCATAACTTTTGTCCATTTAGATAGTGTTTCCTGTAAAATACAATTATTCGTCTGAGTAATTGGTATTTAAATATACAATGATTAGTTACTTATTACACTTCAAGTTGCTATCTGTATTAAGAATCGGATTTCTGTACATTGTCTAGATAATCACAATGACTCGGGATCGGTAAGACGATAGAGGTCTGTACTTTAAGTGATAAAATATAGTGCACTGGGCCCGTGTCCTTTAAGGGAAACACAATAAAATACGATTGGCAATTCAACAGTTGACATTACAACGCGGTTGATAGCAATGCGATGCTCAAATGTATCGTAACCCATGTGAGAGTTTAAAGCAAGAGAACGGAATCGAACCCGTGTCCTCGTCACGAGCAAACGCTTCATCCATCATAGTACCCATATATTATAACAAAACATTAAAACACACAGTTAATAGGAAGGGTATAGGATTTGAAACACTTCCCTTAGTTATCTTGTGCTGGCCTGAACATCGCTGGATCTCCCTTGCCATGGTATAAAACTGGCACTGTGCCTTACAATGAAGTGCATGCACCAACGTAAGTCAAAAGAATAAGTGGCACTAAGGGGTTCCAGTCAGAGAAAACAGACTATCTAAATGAAGCATTCACAGACACAAAACATAGGTGACGGAATACACTCTGATTATACTGTTATCGATCACCGGGCGGAGATATAGTTATTCCTCATCATAGAATGTATGGTTTGTCATTTTAAAACATTTCGTCAGTTCCTGGAGGATTATCGCAGTCCTAATGCATGTCAGTAAATGCATTCATAATGTTCTAGACACAGGTCTCGATTCTCTTGTTTATTGTCAGCGATTTTCCTGTGTCTTTGGTCAGCGATTTCTGTGTGTCTTTAGTCTCCTCTTCCTTCACAGACCTGTGATTCCAATACAGCCTGCGTGTTAAACAGAACAAACAAATGTTAATGCCACATTCAATATATTTTAATTCGCACATTCATGTTTATGTTTATATGAATAGTCATCACTTTATTGCACACCTACCTGCATGGTCTACAATGTAAACACAGATACACCGCAACCGCTAAGATTAGTGTCAGCGCCACTCCGACAAGCCCACCAACGAGAACACCTAGACCGGTAATCTTTGTAAACGAATGGGTCGTTTTGTTGGTGTTGGGAAGTTTCTGTTTTTGATTCTGAAAATGTAAATCAGATTGGCTCTTCCAATGATTCAATCATAATGTTGTTAGTGACAACTTTCAAGTGGCACTGTCATTTAGATTTGTCTCTTATGTCGCCAAGAAGAGAGAGAGAATTAAAGTTCATAGTCACATCGGCAGCATTTCAGCCATATCGTGACTAAAACCTGTCGACGAAGGACAGAAAAACAACTAGAATATCACAGAAACAAGAATTAAAACGAGCATTTACCTCTAAAATTGGATTTCAATCTGGACAAGACAAAATAAAAACGAGCTGAATAACAACTGAAGGTAGGTCACCATTTTAGGGATCATGGGGACTTACAGTGTCTTTGCTACTTGCATGGACCCTAGCTGGATTCCCAGCTAACACAGAAACGTTTTGAAGACGTTTTGGAAACGTTTCCGTATCGTTCAAAAAAACGTTTTTAAAACCAAATTTTGTGGATTTTCTTTTACGTTTTAAAAACGTTTTGACGAAACGTTTGCGAGAAACATTAGAAACCTTCTGAAATCGTTTTGAAAACGTTTCTCCATGGGGTTACCAAAACGTTTCAGAAACGTTTGGGTTGAACCTTCTTGCGATTGTAGAGATATCAGAAACGATATCATCTTCTGATATCGTTGCAAGGCTAGTTTACCAACACTAAGTGTTTTCAATCCCGTCCAATAAATACATACACTTAAATAAATTTGTTAATCATGATATCCGTTATTTTTCAGCAAAAATGAAAAAACAAAACAATTATGTGTTTTAAAGAATACTTCATTTCATCAATACATTTGGAAAATAATCAGTCATCTTTCTCATCGGGTTCTTCTTGCGTCTTTGTTGGCTCCTGAAAAAAACCCGTAGAAATTCTATAAATATTTACTGTCTCTTCACTCTTGATGATGCTAAATTACTGCTAAATAATGTCTCTGTGTCATGAAACTATGTTGAAGAATACAAATTCGCACCAGTGTTTATCGAAAACTTACAAAATAAGTACAGATCAATCAATCTAGACCATTAATCATATACAATGGGAATTTATTAGTAACCAATTTGTCAAATTGTGCAACTGATTTCATCTGGTTATATTGTATAATACTTTCCCAAAATACGGGCGTCATTTACAGAAGAAAGTTGTCACACGCAATAGTTTTACGGGACTGAATATTCTGTATTTCTTACAGTTGACCCAAGTTATAAATGATTAGTTGCCTTTCAATGGCAGGATAAACGTTTATTTAAAAGTATTCCTTCATGACACATCTTCATTTCTTGTTTAAAAGTCGCATAATATATTTACTTATGAGGGGCTGCATTTGTTGTGAGGAATCATAGTCTGGTTGTTAAGGAAGTGACGTATTGTTTACGCTATAAAATAACGAACTGGAGTCGCCGATTCGAATGTAATATTATCCCCTGATTTCCTGTACATCGCAGATAAGCAAGAGCGCCACGTGACTAAATCTGTGTTGGCAGATTGGATACGGGACAGTGGAAACAGGGAAAATTCCTACATTTGAAAACAGGTCTACATTTTGGTCATCTAATGAATGGTAACATCATAGTTAAGTTAATAGTCGACGTTTGTTTGCAATTTAATTGATATTACCATGACTCTACATCATATTATTTGCAAACGCAGACATACTGTAACATAGTTTGGATATGAATGTGCATTTAGTATTAACGTACCACTCTACAAACATAAAAAACAGGTTTTCTCATGTGCTTGTACTATTAATTTTGATCTTGTGAACATTGATGCTCATATAGTAAACAAAAACACTCATTCTAACACTAGGATTAAGTTTATGCTAATCGTCACAATGATTTATGTCACAAGTTATATATATCACACATATGTTGAGAAAACATCATGGGAATACTTACTGTTACCAAAAAGAATGAACGTTCACAAGGCAAGATATAGAATTTTAAGTGAAATTCTAATTGATGATGTACCAATTTGACTGTACAAATTTACGTTTTAGAACAATTATATGAATACACATACCTCTTTTGATAAAGCTGTCGTCTTCCCGCCTGCTATGTACAGAGTCCGATTTTGAATGCGCGGGTTCCTGCTCTGACCTGATTTATGAAGTATCTTGGAAAATTCCTGAGAGCTGACACCGAGATACAAGAGATAGCAAGTTGTTCACGCAGAGAAGGCACAGCAGTAAACGGGTGATTACAATATAATGTTGGATCTAAAGTTAACAGTATAAGTACAAAAATCAGTGATTGTAATGAGACACATGACATATTATTACAGTTAGCAGAATGTTCAGAACAGTTTTCAAAACGTATAATTCTCACAAATATTTATGTGCAGGTGTACTTGCATAACCATTATTTACAAGTTAATATGCATTCCTGCAGTGAACAGAGACATAGTTATCAGGAAATGTTCACCTCAAAATGTTTCAATAACGATTTTACCAGGTTGTGATTTGGTTTCAATCAAACTTTAGGAAATCCCTCGCCAATGCTTCAAGAACGTTTCTAAAACGTTGGTGTGTAGAAGTTTGGATTTTGTTTCTTGATAACGTTTTAATAACGTTACTCGGAACGTTTTCATAACGTTTTAAAATAACGTTTAAAAAACGTTTTAGAAACATTATAAAAACGTAGTCATGAAACATTTCCCTGAGAAACCACTAGAAAACGTTTTATAAACGTTTTGTGTTAGCAAGGTTTACACCCACCCTTCAGCCGCTGGCGATTGTACTAAGGTTTAGCGATTTCTTAAAACAACAGATAAACTCGGTAGAGCTAAATCAACTCAGTTGTTCATTTAAACTACCAATTACAAGACATTTAAAGACATTTCTATTTACGCAACTGTTATCAAAATATATCTGACAGCTCTTTTTTCTTTTAAAACTAAAACGATTAAATGTGATTTTACAGTAAAAAGATCCTTCAATGTTTTGATATTAAAATACTTATCCCTTGTGATGGATCGCCAAGCAGACCTGACTAAGATAAATGTTACACTGTTAAACATAAGTGTTGTATATTCTACCTATAACACGGAGACAGCGAGGACCTCTGTATCCATGACTGCATCCCTGGAGACATCTCCCGTCCACAACGTCACAGCTCCCGTTACAGTGACCGCATTGTGCCGCACAGTTCAACCCGTACTTCCCGTTAGGACAAGCTAAATATGAAACACTGTTTCACTGACAGTATGAATATATATAGGAACAACTTGACTGCATAGCAACAATAATTTAATCATTTCACATCCTCGTTTTGCTTCTGCAAGTTCCCGATTGATACATGGAACTGAGAGTAGTTAGTTTTCTTTGACAAAACTCTCGTTCGTTATGTACAATGGATAAATATATTTTTAAACCGACGAATACATTTGGTAAGTCTCAACTTGGGCTGTATAATTTGTAATATTTCAATAATAATTATTGACGATTCAACCAGCCAAACTGCAGACAATATTACAATGATTAACGTCACGGTGTATTCTACGTGACGCTTTGACAACGAGGTCCGCTAAATCCATTTCTGCAATGCAATGAGATGACCTAAACGTTGATATCGCCTTTACTGACAAGTTCGGTTTTAACAACAAAACTATCTTTGCAGTTTAAAACAAGAGTGTGCGTTGTGCGTCATCTTAACCCACCTTCCTTGCACAGATCCAGATGCCATCCTGCCTCGCATCCATCTGGACAACTGCCGGTCTCGTGGTGACACAAGCTGGTGTTACCACATCTACCACAGGCGTTGTTGCAATCCACACCATAGGCACCAGCTGGGCAAACTGGGCATCTCATACAATATGTGAATATGTTTAGTTTCCCAATGTAAATATAATGTTTAACATCAGAGAACGTACAGATGTATCTAGTCGCCCCAATGGTCGCGAAAGTCCCTTCCAATATGACAGATATGTAAGTATGTGTTGTCTGACGCCTAAAGGTGTCTCTGTTGCGCAAAGAAACATGCGTAAGTAACGTCACGTACTCGTTATTATAGTACCTATTGCTGTGACACTGTACTTACTTGAGATAACGCTAACAGTTCAAAATATGTGTATTACCTGCACAACCCTGCTAGACAACTTACAGTACATTGTGTTACAGGTACATTGTGTCACAGGTAAATGCACTGTGTTACAGGTGAAATACACTTAATGATTTCCCAAATTTTCGAAGGAACGTAACAAACAGGTTTCCCATTTTACACAAGTTTACAAAGAGTACTGTGAATTATACACTTTTGTACTCCTCTGTGTTTATTTTCATGTAGCATAATCACGTTATATTTTCTTGTATTTCACTGTATCAAGGAGGTAATCAAATAGTTTTACCCTGTGTGCAGTCAGCTTCACGCCACCCAGGATTGCATCCACCGTCACACGCGCCTTGTGTCACATCACAACTGGACTTTATCTTGCAGTGACGTGCAGTACATAACTTCCTACAGTCGGGTCCATACCACACTCCTTCCGCACACCCTGGGGTTACTGTCGTAAGCGTTGGTTTTGGAACTAAATGCAGCAGTAAACATACTCCATAAGTGAACTCAACGTTTGAAACATCATGACGACTCTTTGCAGCTTTATAGGCATGACGCTGCTTCAGCCATAAACTGTCTAACATGTTCATATAACTTGCAGCTAGCAACACATAACATGGTGAAATAAAGACATATCTTTGGGTAAACCTAAGTCTCCTGAGAACACTATCTTGCATTAAAGACTTGGCATTTTCAAATGGTCCAGATTCGAGTACAGACCGCCGCCATATAGCTGAAATAAACAACAAACCAACCAACCAATCTTTTCTTTCAAATATTCAACAGCTCCTTCTGGAAACAATCCTAAATCAAACTTATGCATAAATAAGGTTCCAATAGCTGTTAATGCTGTTTATGCTATTTCATAAGATCTGTGTTGTCTGGAAAACTGTTGACCATTTCTTGCTGACGTGAACTGAAAATGGCTTCAGTGGCGGATTATAGCAAAAGTAATTACTGATATTGGGTGTTGTCATTAAAATAATTCTTTCGTTATTCTGTTGTTTCTGTATTTGGAGATACTAAACTTAGGCAAACACATGTAAATGAAATATACTTTTTCGTAGTGTGAATCATTCAGTTGGAATGTATAATACATTAATGCTTCCTCAGGGAGCTCCACGGAAGGTAAAGTGAAAGGCTATCTGAACATACTTACTCCACACTTCTACTTCTGCAAAGTCTAGTACAGCTCCATCTCCGTCGTTATCTGTTTCGGTATAGATAGTCAAGTAGCGCCAGACTCCAGAACAGTTCACATACAGTATGTCCGCTATGTCCCTACAGTCGGCACGTCCTGTAACAGTGTAGCAAAGATCCCCTTCCTTGGGGTTAGAGGAATCCGTCCGTGATGTGTAGAACTGTATGCCATTACACCGTCGTGAGTCTAGTAAATAGGTGCAGTATTTGCGCTACAAATAACATGCTTATAAAAGATTCATAATGTTTTCATTATGTAGCATGCAATCAGATCAAATGTAAAAGCAAGATACTTTTATGAATGATTGTTGTTGTTTTTTTGTTTAACGAAACACTCAGCAATATTCCAGCTATATGACAGCGGTCTGTAAACAATCGAGTCTGGACCAGACAATCCAGTGATCAACATCATGGGCATCGGTCTACGCAAATGGGATACAATGACATGTGTCTCCCTTACCACCCGACCCCGTAAGTCGCCACTTACGACAAGCATGGGTTGCTGAAGATCAGTTCTAACCCGGATCGTCACAGGTCTTTTTTTATGAAAGAGGGCGGTGGGGTAGGCTAATGGTTAAACCTTTAGACGCAGAACTAAGTTCGAGTACCCACATTTGTACAGTGTGAAGGCCATCTCTGGTGTATGTTGTCGAAGTGATATTGCCGGAATAGATGACAGAATCGACTTTTCCTATTATTTGATGCTTCTATTGTGATGCAACATCTGGGATAAACCCTTATAGATTGCCAACGGTTGAAGGATATAGATGACAAATGTATTTTATTCTTTTATGCTTCTATTGTGATGTAACATCTGGGATAAACACTTTATACCAGTGCAAGATTGCCCACGGTAGAAGGATACATATTGACAGATTGTAACGGTTTAGAAATAAAAGTTGTCATCCACAAATGTATCTTGTCTATATTGTTCCTCAGCAACTTTTCAAATCCCATTTAATTTAACAAATATTTAGTTCAAACGTTTTAAGGTATTATGAGAGCTGCAAATGTGACCACACAGGCATCCGTTGTGTTTGATTCTTCGAGAACTATTACTTACAGTCAAATCTGAAGAAGATCCTAATCATGGGAGAATGTACCTCCACGTTGAGGTCGACCTTCCACCAAGCAGTGGGTTCGTTCTCCTTGGTGTGGATTGTGAATGACTCGTCAGTACCATCAGTGTGTCCGTCAACAGCTCGCACGGAATATTGGACTCTCCTGGTACTACTCATGGATGTTCGCTTATGCAGAGCAACGTTTAGGCCACTACCTGAGACTGCACACACTCGGATTATGTATTTCTTGCATACAAGATGGCAAGGGTATTACACATTTGGTATTAAGGGTATTCATATTACACATGGAGGCAGTCTGTAAATAATCGAATCTGGACCAGATAATCCAGCGATCAACAGCATGAGCATCGGTCTATACACTTGCAATACGTTAACATGTATCAACCAATTCACACGATGCCCCTTAGTCGCCTCTCATGGGTTGCTGATGACCAATTCTAACCGGTTCTTCAAGGATCATTCTGAATGCCTTAGCCCCGAATTTCACAAGACGAGACCAAAATTGTTTTCTCAGTAAACATCAGATGACATGTACCTTCGTCTCCAAAAACGTTGGAATTTATGTATATGATATTGTCCTAATTGGTTAACGGAGATACTTCCGTTGGTCTGCAGCATACTGTTTGGAAATGTTCAAAATGTTCTCAAACATTAGCACACTTTAGCATACAGTGATTGTGAAGAAGTCCCAGATTCACGAACTGTTTTCTCAGTAAACTTCACACAATATTTACCATCGTCTGACAATGTCCATGTGACCGTTTTGTACCTTAACTTCCGTTGATCTGCAGCATACTACTTTGAAATAATACAAACATCAAGAGTGTAACTCATGCAGCACTCAGGATTCCATTCACAAACACGAAGAAGTATAAAATGCGAAATAGTGTTGTTTACTTACTCAATGTTTGTATTTTATCATAATCTGAGTGCGTATCATCATCGTCATCTCCTGTGAATGGGCTCTGTGATTGATAAGTATTCCAAACTTCTACTTCCGCAAAGTCCAACACCGTTATCATTGGCTGTCTCAGTGTAAATAGTAAGGAAGCGAAAGCTTTCGTAACAGGTAACGTTTAGAATATCAGCAATATCTCGACCGTCTCTACGTCCCCTGACCGTGTAAAACAGACTTCCGTTTTTTGGAGCAAGAGAACTTGTAACAGAGCAATAAAATTGCAACCCATTACGGCGGACTTTGTCTGAAAATAAATCAGATCAGAAACCATTCCCCTGAAACCTTCATCATAAAATCTCCGAACCAATTCTCAGTGTTGGTTTCATTGGAAAATGCTAAATTATCACAACAAGGAACATGATTAATAATATATCTTCCTTGTGTAAACATGTCTTTCTCAATTCGGGAACCCACATACTCAGAACCACTGTGCTTCACATTGAGAAAGTGCATTGCTATACAAGTGGCCTGAAATCACAATACACATCGTATCGTACATATATAAACTGGTCCACGGTTGACAAAAGCCAATTGAAACTTATTTGTATCATAGTAATCAGTATGTATATTAAACAAAACATTACTTACAGTCAGATCTGAAGTAGATGATGATCAATGGAGACTGTACCACCGTCTCGAGATCAACCTTCCACCAAGCATTAGGCTCACGCAACGAGGTGTGGATTGTTAATGACTCGTTATATGCGTCACTCACTCCATCTACCGCTCTTCCGGAATATTGTACTCTCCTGGTACTACTCATCCATGTTTGTTTGTGGAGAGCAATGTTTTCCCCACTACCTACAACAGCGTATATGTATGAGAAGCACCGTAACAAATTAATAATGGAGTTAAGGTTGTGGTGATAGTTATGTTATTTTACCAACTGTCTTATGACAATTTGATTTGGAATTGTTGAACTTCAGTGTTGATGACAGAGTAAGGATCTGTGTATGTTCATCCGGAGAATATGTCTATACTGCCAGATAGTCGTGTATACCAAGTCATTGAAAAGATACAGCATCGTTTGCATGAGTTATATAGACAGTTTTAAGATGTCCAGATTTCATTGGTCGGGGATTTCAGTGCTCGCACTGGTGCTGTAATTGACTGTACAATAAGAAACGAAGATAATGATAATATTTCATGTTTAAGTGGCATGAGTTAACCTAGTAATTTGTTGTAGGAAGATATGAAGTGAAGGGACAGATTATGTTAAAGAATTTGGAAAACTGCTTATTAACCTTTGTTGTATGTATGGTACTCTTCTGCTAACGGGCATTCATGAAATGATCGATAGGGTTCCTTCACTTTTTGTGAGTTTGGTGTATTTATTTGCATTAGTCTATTTAGAATTAATTTAGTTTTGTATAGTCTTTGGGGTTTAATTATATCTCAAGGGGAGGAATAAAGTTCTAAAAACATATTCTCCTGATGTGATTACTTTGGTATGTGACACTATTCAAGGTTGATTAAATTGTTTACATCTACTGATTAAATATCTCCAACACTGCTACTGACGCTGAATGTGTTTCAATTTGTAAAACTATTATTGCTAATCTTGCAGAATATACTAAATGTGGTGTGTGTAAGGATATTGACATGAACATTTGATGAAGTTGTTCATGCTATAAATGCTCTCATATGTCATAAAGCAACTGGTCTAGATGGCACTATGCCTGAGATGTTATAGTATGTTAGCTGTCACAAAAGGCGACTATGCTTGTCGTAAGAGGCGACTAACGGGATCGGGTGGTCAGGCTCGCTGACTTGGTTGACACATGTCATCCGTTCCCAATTGCGCAGATCGATGTTCATGCTGTTGATCACTGGATTGTCTGGTTCAGACTCGATTATTTACAGACCGCCGCCATATAGTTGGAATATTGCTGAGTGCGGCGTAAAACTAAACTCACTCACTCACTATAGTATGGTAGCAATATTTTAAGTCATCATCTAATGAATCTTTTTAAGATTATCCTAAACTTAAGTATATGTTCTTATCAATTGTCGCTATTGATTTCATTCTTCATAAATCAAGAAGAGAATGATATGAAGCAGTTCGGAGGCAGAGGAATCTTTGGGCATCAGGATATGACGGAATGTTTTTACTTTTGTATGCCGATGATTTGTGCATTTTTGCTGATTACATTCTTAAATGACAGAGACAATTAGATGTCTGGTTTAAAATGTGTTATAAAATGGTGTTCGTTAACAGAGATGAAACTGAAATTGCACTGGTACACTGGGAAGATATGAGAAATATAAGCACGGTAATGTATCTGTGACAGTGTCCATATATTGTAGTCATTTTCGTATATTGTTTTCAAATACATTATGTTGGCCAAACGTTGTACAGACATAACCAGTAAAAAATAGTGATCTGTATCTATCATACAAAAAAACAGTTAAGTTATAAGTTTCACAATATTTCTCAAAATGCCTTGTTGAGAATGTCTCATTTTCAGGTAAATGCTAGTATGTTATACAGCTTATACCTGAGCGGCCCCATGCTAAATTCTGAAAGGAGTAGTTTTCAAAGGCAACAATTGTCACAGTTTGTAGTCGTTACAGTATCCATGCAGATGTGTCAGGTACTGGTTTACGTTTATGATATGCCAGCAGATACATATCCTTATCGGCGTTATGATATGTTAGTCAGTTTATATACAATTAGTAGGAAAACGTGGGCTACTCATAAAAAGAAAACCCTATATTCATATTGATTGTGTGTTGTATTGGGATCTCTAGGTGTTGGTTTAAAAGTTTGTTTTGTAAATGAAACTCTGTGGGCAGATATGGGTTATTTTAAGAAACAGACTTATATTCTCTGTATCTTTAACACTTGAACAGTTTATATCAACAGAAATATGAAGAATGCATACTTTGAAAAACGTTGTTTAAGATACAGGAAGAAGAAATGGTTCTGTCGTAACTGCGTTCAGCGTGTCAGATGACCCTACAACAGTAACCGAAACTTATTGCCGTTCAACGTGGACGTCGGTAGGTGTAAGCAATGGCGCTACACTCGCCTGGTCCGTCGAGGGTCGCTAAATCAAGGTCTGAGGGGTCGAACGACCATGATTCTTAACTGTCAACATCACATTCATGTCCAGACGCCCATTGATACAAAGATCAACACCAGGTTCTATGCTCAGTTAAGTGTACTTCCAGTCTCTCAAACTAAAACATCAATACACGACAGGATATGCTTGTCCAAGCCATGGTCAACACAAAAGCATGCCCTACTCTGCTGGTGTTATTTAAAGTTATGTTTATAAAGGCTCTGGCATTAGTTACATATCACAATATATTTGTTTAATTGGTCAAACATTCTATCAGACTCTGACCTCATACAGCCAGTGACAGACAGAGCCAATATGACCGATCCGATTCTGCGTCTCGTCATAAGCTCTCCGAACTCTCTCTATACCTCCTGTTCTCTTCTGTGGCTATTGCCTTTCCGTTACATCTTCCATGATGGTAGCCATCGTTTAAGGACGCGTCTACTTCAGTGTTGGGATGGATTTTGGAATGCCATTTTTACCGTCTAACACTACGGAAAAGGCATCGTGTGTCCATTATTTAAGTCTAGAGGTCAAAAATGAAAATCGTTTTGTATTCGTGTGTCCGTGTAAAGATATACATTCAAACGTTCTTCAACATTGAAATGTTACTTATCCATTCCTAACTTACTCTGATAAATATACTCCAACCGTTGATATTTGTTACTATAATTTCATTGTTGCCCGAATACCAAAATGAATAATCTGATCATATACAACAGTGTGAAGGTGGTATATTGTGTTTTTCTATGTTTGCTGTTTAAAACCGCACCTAACAAGTTTAACGACTACATGCATGTTTGTAATATATGGCTTATGACATGTTTCCAGTATATTCGCTAACATGTCAAAGCTGTGCTTGTGTTCAGAAGTAGCGCCACTTCATGTCAAGCATAATTTCCTCTGATGTGTCATATCTTTCTGTTTGGAGACAGTGTGTACATAATTCACGTGGTAAATATCTCATGGTGGATTATTTGGACTGAGTAGTTAAGAGATCTTGGCATAAAAAGTCACTGTTTGATCAAAGTTACAATGGCGATTCGCAAACGAATGCTATGTCAATCACTGGACTGTCTGGCCCAATCCTGATTATTTACAGACTGTCAGCATATGGCTGGAAAATTGCAGCAAGCGGTGTTAAATATCAGGCTATTAAAAATTGTTTAATAATTTTGTTTGTTTTTAAAATAAGGCCTACACACGTGTTCTCCTTTTGATATATATAATGAAAGTACAATAATAGATCTAATCAATGTCATAGATCCCCGTGCTGACATGTTACATAATTATGAAGTACGTGACAATAAACTACATGGGTGCTACAAACACTGCTACTAACGTAGCTATTATCATTCATCTTCTTTAAAAGAATCTTTTTTATAAATATCAATCCTCGTTTAATTGAAGCTTTTTTTAACAAAATAAAAACGTTTGATACATTTTGAATGTTTGAATTGTTTTAAAATTAGTTTCATGTTATCACCAACTGAGATTACTGATGGCGGTGCCAATCAGGGGTTAAAGCACCATACAATTATTGTCTCCCTGAAGTGGCACGCGAGTCCAATCTTAACTGAAGCATGTAGCATCAACTAGCATTTTAATTACTCGATTATAGTTTATTTGTTAACCTTGGTTAGCTTTGCATACAGCCACTGGTGGCCATAGTGATGACGTAAAACCTCCTGGGAATCATGTATATGTATGAAGCAGACCTAACGAAGCCCCATGATCCCCTGGAAGGGTCGCTAGTGGTCTATAGCCGAGTTTTAATTTCTATTAGATAATATTCTGAGTAAGTAATATTTTTAATATTGAATTTGTTTGTTTTATACCTACTATCTGTGATATTCAACATACTGTTTACTGCCCTTTGTCGACAGGCATTTAACTGTATTCAACTTGTTCACGTCGCGATATGGCTACAATATTGTTGGTGCGATGTGAGATTTGAACTCACTCACGTACTGCTACTAGCGGTTATGAAGATCTGTTACACAAGTTTCGACCGTCGATATTTTATCCGAATGTTTACATGTATACAATAGCTTATGTGTTTCACTCTGAAACATGCAAACCGATTTATCTTGCAGCAAGGTATTATTCCTACGTCTATAAATTGTAATGACTTCCTTTATGCTGTTATCCGCCGTAATACTGATGTAATATTATTGTTTTAAAAACCTTACCTTTACACAAATTCATTAAGAACTAGGTAACTATTTGTCTTCCTACCAAAGATATTTTCATTTTAATCTCTACATTTGATCTCACGAGTAGTTGTTTACAACTAGTGTGTCGCAAAACGTTCCCGTGGAACTTTTACCACTTTGGTTCTCTGTCAATGGTTTAACATCAGAATGGAACTTCCATGAATGGACTGCCATGCGTACTTACCTAGCGAGAGAATCACGCATGCTCCTACTAGCCTAGCGATGCCCAACGTCATCATGAGAGACCGGTTATACACTGAGGATTATCAATTTGTAGTAGTAGTAGTAGTAATCTCTTGGAAAGTGAAGATTCTGAAGTTTGAGTTCCACCAACAAACTAAAGAATAGTGACCTGAACGAGAGCGACGATATAGCCTTGATAGCCGTGTTGACACATACGCCCATACTGTCCCACTTGTTCAGGGTTAGGCTTCAAGTGTCCATAAGTATTCTCAAGGAGATTTCAGTTTGTAATTGTCACTGCAGCGCACCAGCATTGCAAATTTACATTTTTAGACATCTTTAATTTCTATAATATATAAAAGCAAAGAGTGTAAGCTTAAACCAAATATTCATTTTGTATTTCTAATTGTATTTTCATGTCAACATTTTTTATTTCCTAATGTTTGGGATTTCCGTCAGAAAACAGAAAGGAGATATTTCAAAAAGTATTTGGAAAGATTTATTGCAATGTAAGTAATTTCAAACGATCTGGCAAATTTGCTGGATCGTATTTTTTCAGAAAAGTTTTATTTACTTTCAAAATTCGGTGTTTGCACTATGATCATAGTTCCTTAACTAAGACTTAATAAAGTCTTTGCACTAAGATGGCTTTGTACATGTGGGCCCTGGACCTGAACGCATGTCACCACATGCTTTACAAGCTTCAACCAAAAAGTACTAGAATTTGTACTTTACTAAGAAAGTGTAATCCCAAATATAACATATGTTACATGTTGTGCTGTCGATCAGCCTATTTGTCTTCTCTGAGCATCCATGCATGTTTCAACTTAAATTCTAATGTGCTGACTGATCTGTCTGACAAGTCCATGACATTGTGGCCGGCACATGAAACAAAGTCAGTTATCGGTTGTTATTGTCATTTCAAAACTGGCCAGTCAGAATAAAATCAGTTATTGGTGTAATTCATTTAATTCATGGAAACCTCTGTTTTCAGTTGTACTTATGGTAGCTTTGGCAAAAAACATATGTCCAAAAGCCAACATAACACGAGGAAGCAGTCTACCCGATCATTACGATATGATTGTTAACTATGGACAAACAACAGTGTTTGTATTTACAACCTGCAATAAAGCTTGTACAGTATACATGTTTGAAAGAGACTACAACTATGATTTACAAATCATTGTCGTTTATGTTTGCTACGCAAACAATAACATATGGCTACAATACGAAAACTGTATCGGTATATTATCCACCTACAATGAAGAGAGTATTTTCCTCTCATGAGGGAAGCACATTATCATGGATTTTATTGTAAGGCCTCAACAAAAGTCAAAACATGGTCTTTCCAAATATAGGCCTCAACGTTTGTATATATAGTACGATATAATGTTATCAACAGATAATAAAGATCCATCATCAGAACTGTTTTCCTTCTTTTCATTGTTGTGGCAATATTTGTCCTCACCCATCCCCGATAAACCCTTCTGATACAATGTGAATGGTCTTGACATCTTCCTGCAGGCGAATTATGAACAACATGGAAGATTAACTCAGCCCTACACAGCCACGATACATGTCCCATTTTAACAATGATGAACCCTAGCATGTACCTGATCACACAGGAAATTGTTTTGCCATTCTTCTCCTGTACTTCGTTGATGTTTTAAAACGTAATATACTGGTCAGATATTAAACGTCAGTGCAAAAGAATAACTACTTGACTATCTGCAGAAACAATGTTCTTTGGGCATTGGGGGCTAAATGACTGGGATTTAAGGCTAGATTGTCAAAAAACTGCTAACATCTGAAGGGATGGTGTAAATCCAGCTTGGGCCCATGCAGGAAGCAAAAGTACTGTAAGTCCCCAATGGTCCTTAGTATGGCGATCTACCTTCGGCTGTTTCCAATATATAGCCTGTTTTAATATTGTATTGTCATATATAGTTATATGTTTTAGATTTTAGATTTAATTACTAGTTTTAAATTTACATATGCGATAATTGTTTTACGGTCCTTCGTTGACAGGTTTTTAAAAATTTAAATTACTTTAGTTACTATAAATCTATGAACATATTTATACGATATGGCTGAAATACTGCCGATGTGACTTAAAATCTTAACTGATTGGGAAAGTGATATGAAGACTGTGCCAATGAAAGTCAGTGATGACACCAGGTGTTCGCGAAACTGGTAAGCATGTCCCACCCCACCAGATAATAGTAGTAAAATCAACTGGTAACAATACACCACGCGCCTCTTCTTGAGACAAAACTGCTACCCACAAGGACTTTTGTGAGCACGAAACCTATTCAGGGTAATACAATTACTGACCGTTTTGTAAAATGTAAAATGTCGTTTCCAAGTAAGGAAATGTTTCTGACTATTTTATAATAGTCATGTGATAATACGTGATGACATCTGGGTTAGGTGCTTGCCATGTATAGTGTTATTGGAGGTGGGATATTTGTGGAATGATGCCAAACTGTAACATTAGTTGAACGTTCATAAACAACAACAAGTATTCAATGTTTTAGAGAACGAGACATTGCATGCACATGAACACTGATACATTGTTTCCACAAACAATTTGAACCATCCCAGGCCGAACATAAAAGTCCCTCGCTGTAATGCTGCTGGAATATTGGTAAAAGTAGCATACAACTATCACTCACATGTCACTCATAAAAGACCTCTGTCGGTGTGTCGGTGAAGATGTGAATACATTTTGGTGTTTATATACATGTAAATGAAAGCAGTTGACATATTTACATTTTCAACATTATCTGATCCACTTAAATTTTTTAACATTGCCTCATGCTGACACAATTCGTGGACGTATAGACTGTCAATCATGACCTTTCATAGTCACAATTTAAAAATACCCTCCAATCACATGACCAGAATGTTGTGTCCCAGGCACGAGGATACGAGGCAGATAAAAGACAACCTGGATATTAAAAGAGAGGATATTTATAATATTTTCAACAATTCTGAACTGAAGTATGAAACCTATCAGAATTTATTATATTATAATATTCGGGGTGGGGAGGGGCGTTACTTAATTTTAGAACTTCAAACCACTATCTACTAATTGAAACAGGACGATGGATCAACACACACACACACACCCAAATGAAAGTCATGTATTCTCTGTATTGCAAACCACATTGGAATTGAATTTGACTGTTTGTTTATTTGCCCCACTTTGAAATTAGCAATATTTTGCAAAATAATAATGCCTCTTCTTAGTAGCGAGTTAATCGACTGCAAGAGAGAGAAACCTTATGCTTCGTTCCAATTGAGTTTAACATGGACAGTGTGCCATTGAGGGAGGTATATATGTAATGCAACCGGTATACCTTATGTCGCGATACGGCGCTTTCTTATGATTACACTTAAGTTCAAAATGTATCTTGTCGTGGATATAGTTTGAACGGGTAAATGCTAATGTTCTAAATATTTTGACATAACGTTAGCATTAGTCAATGCATAGGTAATGGTATAAATACGAACTATGTGCACAAAATATCCATATATTTGAGAAATCCCTGTAAGTACCGCCAACGCTCTTGTTGCAGGACGTTAGTGTTGTATGCACGGTATTTACAGAAATGTAAACAAGCTAGGAAAAATAGGAAGAAGGCGGAAAAATACTTCCGACAACATCGTACTTTGCATAACCTGAATGCCGTTAAAATGACAAATGCCAGGGCAAGACGTACATTTAAACAAACTAAACGCCGGTCATGGAGGAAATATGTGTCCAAAATCAACTCCAGCTCACCCATGTCCAAGGTGTGGAACATGATTCAAAAGATTAAGGGCAAAGGATCCAAATCTGGTGTTCGCCATCTCAAAGATGGTGACTCCCTTTTAAACAATAAAGTTGAAATTGCAAACAAACTTGGCGAAACTTTGGCAAACCACTCCTCCTCGTCAAACTATAACCCCAAGTTCCAGAAATACCAAACCCAAGAAAAGAAATGAGTCAATTTTAACTCTGATAATGGTGAGGATTACAATGAAACGTTTTCTCTCCATGAACTACGTACTGCCCTGGGGCAGGCTCACGACACTGCAGCAGGAGCTGATGATATTCATTATCAGCTTATGAAACACCTCCCTGATTCAAGTTTGGAAACACTACTCAATATATTTGATGACATTTAGACAACTGGGAACTTTTCTCCTTGTGGCACAATGTCATTATCATCCCTATACCAAAACCTGGCCAGGATCATACTGATCCCTCAAACTACCGTCCTATATGACTAACTAGCTGTGTTGGTATATTCATGGAGCGCATGGTCAACAATCGATTAATCGGGTACTTGGAGACCAATAACCTCCTTAGTGACCTCCAATGTGGTTTCCGAAAAAAACGAAGTACCGATGACCATCTGGTGGGTCTGGAATCTTTCATCAAAATTGCATTGTCAACAAACAACATACTGTATCTATCTTTTTCGATTTAGAAAAAGCATACGATACAACGTGGAAACCTGGCATCTTAAAAGATGTACATGAATTTGGATTGAGGGGCAGATTACCTCAGTTCATATCTCAGTTTTTGAACAACAGACAATTTCAAGTACGAGTAGGTTCCACACTGTCTGATTATTTCCACCAAGATCAGGGCGTCCCTCAAGGCAGCATCCTGTCTGTCACCCTTTTCAGCATCAAAATTAACAGCCTCACTAACGTATTGAACAGTTGTGCTGATGGGTCCCTTTTCGTGGACGATTTCAATATTTCATGTCGTGGTAAGAACATGCACGCAATATAAACGCAGCTACAACTCCGCCTTAACACAATCCAAAGCTAGGCCATGAAAATGGTTTTAAGTTTTCAAAATCCAAAACAAATTGTATTCACTTTTGTCGTAAATAAAAACCACACAAGGATCCAGGCCTATCTTTAGATGGTACTCCCATCAAGGTAGTAGAAGAGGCCAAATTCCTGGGACTCATATTCGACCGTCACCTGACATTCTTACCACACATAAAATATTTGAAAACCAAGTGCTTGAAGGCTTAGGACCTCTCCGGTAGACAGTCTTTATGCAGAGGCTAACGAACCTTTCCTTGAGCAACGCCGCATTAAACTTTCACTTCAATATATAACTAAGTTACGTTCAAATCAGTCCAATCCAGCATACAATTGTATTTTCAACCCTCTCTATGAAAACTTAAAAAACTGCCAAGCCCGATTCCACCACTTGGAATCGGAATTCAACCACCCATATCTGCAGCTAAAATTGATCTCAATATCATAGCACCTTACCGACTCCTGTCTTCACCACCTTGGCAGATGGTGAAACCACAGGTCGATCTTACCCTCACTAAACTCAAAAAGTCCGAAACAAATCCTTTGGTGTTCCAGCAGGAATACAACCAGTTACGTTCCAAGTATGACACCCATAGATGCATTTTCACAGACGGATCCAAGGATGAGGGCCCAGTTGCCAGTGCTATAGTCATTGGATCCAAGACTGTCTCCTCTAGGATTCCCGACAACAGTTCCATTTTCACTGCCAAGCCAAAGCTATCTTCTCAGCTTTGACCTATATTAAACAGCAGAATCATTCAAAAGGCTTCATCGTTTTCACAGATTCATTATCCTGCCTTCAAACACTTCAAAATGTTATTTCAAGTCACCCAATCATTCTGGACATTTTAGAACTTTACAACGACCTCTCTACTGGCCAATGTGACGTCCTCTGCTGGTTGCCGAGTCACGTCGGCATAGCAGGTAACACAAAAGCCGATGCTGCAGCAAAAGCAGCTCTTGACAAGCCCTTATCTCCACTGCTGATCCCGTACATGATTTCAAACCCACTATCAAAAGCTATACACGGGACATCATGCACAAAAGGTGGGACACTCAAGTAGGAAGAAATAAACTGTATGAATTGAAGCCAACACTTGGTTATACCTACTTGGGTTGTCAGTCAAGACGTGATGAGATAATTTTACGACGATGTCGTATTGGCCACAGTCGGTTTACTCATGAGTATCTGCTGAAAACGGATGGGGATGGACCCCCCATGTGTGTCTCTTGCAATGAGGTTTTCACCATCAAGCATATTCTTCTTGAATGCGTGGACTTATCGTCTGAAAGGGACTCACATTGTGATGAAACAAATCTGAAAGATCTGTTCTCCCGCGTGAGCGCTCATCTGATAGTGAACTACCTGAGGGAAGTTGATATGTAGCATACATTTTTACTGTGTAATGTGACTAACAAATTGCCTGCCTTTAAATTTAGTGCTATGACTTTTCTGCTTTTAAATGACAATGTAATGAATATATGTCTTTGAAATAAAACTCATTGTGACTCTGTACTTACAATGTTTATTAATGCAGACTGGTTCTCGTCACTATATGGCTGGAATAATGCCGATGTGACGTAAAGCCTAACTCAACTCAACTCAACTCAACTCAACTTACCATTATCACTTACTCATTTTGTGTGGAAATACATGGACTTGGATATTTCCCCCGCCCTTGACAGTGCACCAAGACAACCGTATATGCAGGAAAATATTTGCATTTTAAACTGTCTGTTCTTTGTCAGGCCAGGTGCATAACTCCAACACCTTTCATTCGCAGTTAAGGCTAGCCACAGTAGTCATTCAGTGAGGGTTGTTCAATGTTAGTAGTAATGGGATACACGAAAATATCTTCCTGGTGCACAGAGTCGCCGCCATGGAGTGGGTGAGACTCGCTGTCCTGCTCTCTGTGTATGTGCTGCACATTACGTCAGGTAGGGGATCACCTTGTTACTTTTTTTGTGTGTAAATTGTATCATATACAAGGGTTTGAATGGCCATACTGACATATAATGAGTGGTAAGGTTCATTCATCTATACGGAATCAAATAAAATCTAATGCATACTTTATTTTTACGCGAAGTATATCACGAAAGCATGATTTAAATCGTTTAAAATGAAATGATTTTATTTGTTTCATAACTAACCTAAAGAACGTTGCAACAGAAATTTTGACGACGCTAAAAGAGAACTAAACCAAGCTTGTGAATATGTGCTGTGAAAGCAAATATGTGCTGTGATAACCTGCTGTAGCCTATAGTGAATTATGTGCCGCGATGGCCTGTGGTGAATATGTGCCGTGATAGCCTGTAGTAAATATGTGCCGTGATAGCCTGTAGTGAGTATGAACCGTGATAGCCTGTAGTAAATATGTGCTGTGATAGCCTGTAGTGAGTATGAGCCGTGATAGCCTGTGGTGAATATGTGATGTGATAGCCTGTGGTGAATATGTGCTGTGATAGCCTGTAGTGAGTATGAGCCGTGATAGCCTGTGGTGAATATGTGCCGTGATAGCCTGTAGTGAGTATGAACCTTGATAGCCTGTGGTGAATATGTGATGTGATAGCCTGTGGTGAATATGTGCTGTGATAGCCTGTAGTGAGTATGAGCCGTGATAGCCTGTGGTGAATATGTGCCGTGATAGCCTGTAGTGAGTATGAACCTTGATAGCCTGTGGTGAATATGTGCCGTGATAGCGTGTGGTGAAAATGTGCCGTGACAGCCTGTGGTGAGTATGTGAGGTGAGGTGAAATTGGGTTTTACGTCGTACTTGAGAACATTTCGCTCATATGACGACGTGCATGCGTGTGTATGTGCGGCTGCTTGTACTAGCCCAGACTTAAGCTGGTTTTATAGTGCTAGCCCACTGAGATACCATGCAGCAGTGAAGCACGAATACCCTACTCAGACACATTATACTGACTCCGAGCCGACCAGTCCTTGTTGTACCCATTAATGCCGAGCGGCAGGAAGGGACCAACAAGTACCATATTTTAACGTCTTATGGTATGACACGGTCGGGGATCGAACCCGCGACCTTCCGCTCTCCGGGCGGACGCTCTAACCACCACACCACGGAGGCGGTCTTGTAGTGAGTATGTACCGTGATAGCCTGTGGTGAACATGTGCCGTGATAGCCTGTAGTAAATATGTGCCGTGGTAGCCTGTAGTGAATATGTGCCGTGATAGCCTGTAGTATATATGTGCCGTGATAGCCTGTAGTAAATATGTGCCGTGATAGCCTGTAGTGAGTATGTGCCGTGATAGCCTGTAGTAAATATGTGCCGTGATAGCCTGTAGTAAATATGTGCCGTGATAGCCTGTAGTGAGTATGTGCCGTGATAGTCTGTAGTGAATATGTGCCGTGATAGCCTGTAGTGAGTATGTACCAGGACAGCATGCGGTGGATATGAGCTGTGATAGCGCACAGTAGATATGTGCAGTTATAGCGTGCAGTGACTATGACACGTGAGAGCCTGCAGTGAATGTGTGTTGTGATAGCCTGTAGAGAAAATGAGTCGAGATAGCCTGCAATGAATATGTTTTGTGATAATCTGCTGTAAAAATGTGCTGTGATATCCTGCAGTGAATATGCACCGTTATAGCCTGTAGAAACAATTCCTGTGATAGCCTGTAGAGATCAACACTATTAAAGGCCTTTCACCAATGTGTGGTGTGGCGGGGTTGCCTTAAGGCTAAAACGTTCGCTCGTCACGCTGAAGACCTGAGTTCTATTCCACAAATGGGTACAATGCTGTCGTGATATTGCTGGGAGTTAAACCATACTCACTAACTCCGCCAATATATTGTGAATGGTGAATAGTGCATGGTACCGGTGTTTACCAAGTGATGGTTCCTGTATTACATTCCATATATACTTAATGCAATGAATTCTTTAATGGATAAATTGAATTTAAAGGCCCAAATGAAATTTAGTTTAATCGCTTAGTGCGACGTTACAACATTCTATGTGATTTTTAGTCATTCTAAACATTTCCCCCTTTATGGCATGCATTTAATGCGGCAGAAAGAACTGAGGTTATATAGTGGATGCCTTTCATCATCTTGATGGATAACCACTGTTAACATGACGCTGACAAATTAAGCATCTCCCTATCGGTACAGTCTGCTTTTACAACCCAATAGCATCGATAGCATATCGGGTCATGATAAGATCTAAATAACACATAGACCACCAGTGGGCCACAAGGGGTTAGAAATACGTTGATACCTGGTAGTTTAAATCTATAAATACACATTGTGCTGCACTTGTCGACATTACAATTGTAATACTGTAACTATAACCATAAACTACTTCCTGGGAGTCTATTGAATGACAAAATTTGGAATGACAAATAATCAGCTGAGAGGAAGAGGATGTGATACAGATGAAAGAGCAGACCTGGTGCAAGGGTCACTAGCACACTGTGTGCATGACATCACTAGATATGTAGTAGCAGTCAGCGATTGAGTACAACATGTAGTTTCATACTAACATTATCATTTAAATATATATATTTTGGATGAGTCTAAAGTGATTCTAGAGGATTGCAGATTACACCTGACTCCAAAACAGCCTGATTTCCAAACCAATCACTACTTTGAACAGGACAGACACATTTGGGGAAACAAAATGTTAATTACTTCTACTAAAGAAGTAACACAAAGAAGACAATCAAATTTCAATATTGAAACTTTTAACGACAAATAACACAGCACAGTATACACTTCCGAGGAATCAACGTAGCTGAATGCGGCAGTTAATCGTGAAGTGACCCAGGTCGTTTGGGAGTTTGGTGACACTAATGTTTCAAAGCGGTTGATATAGGCTTTTGTTTCTTGTGGTTGAATTTTTTAATTACTATGCCCTGTTTAACATATGTCACTTTTTAGACTTGGATGAATAAATCCGTTAACTGAGATTGTCACCAGCTGTATCCGTGAACGTAGTAGAAATAATGTGAAATTGTTATTAAGCAGAGAGGATGTGTAAGTGTCGAAGATAATTAATTCTTTCTAATTGGGGCTATATTTGACGGAATATATCTATCGCCTCAAATGTTTGTGTAAAGCCTGCTTGGATCCATGCAGGGTGCAAATGTAACTCCAAACCTTCAAATGCTTCTGTTGCCCCGTTTATTTGTGTGTAGTTCCGAGGTCGGTACATATAGTCATGTTCTTTTTATGGTTATATACCACTTTCAGGAAAATATCTGTAATCGTCTAGTTATTGTGCTTTCCTTTGTTGACAGGTTTTATATGGTTTAAATGTATTTTTATCAATGTATACTCTTTGTACTCATGGCTGAATACTGTCGATGTTAGTTTAGATTTTAACTCACATTACAGATTGTTTTTCAATAGGCCTTGTGCTGCTGTGTTGCTGCAAGTGAAGTTTGTGTTATGTACTGATTACAATGCAGAAACGCACGGGCACCAACTAATCAACTATTAGAAAGTCTATGTGCCAAGAGAGTGAGTGAGTTAATATTTAGCGTCACATCGGCGATATTTCAGCCATATCGTGACGAAATCATTTTCATTTATATCAATATTAAAATCAATACAATTAGAACGAATAAAACTGTCATCGAAGGACAGTACAAATACTAGAGTATCACAGTTATTAATTTAAACTAAGTACGCTATCATTAAAATATATCACTATAGACAACAGTACAAAATAGAAACGGGCTATAGATCACCAACTGAAGGCTGATCACCATAGTAGGGACCATGAAGACTTACAGTAATGGGACAAGGGAGACCTCTAGAGAGGCATACGCTGCACACGGAATGCATTGCTTCGTGTGAATCTATGTATCTTTATCTGAAACGGGCACTTCCGGATACGCCAAAATAGACCAGAATAAATCTGTTCTTGGGCAGTTAACATATAACTAATTTTTATATGTATTTTAGGTTGGTATCTGTGGCGTCGCTATATTTACTAGGCACATAAAGAAACTGTGCATGCACAAATTTTAAATCTAAATCTATCAATCCTGTGTAGACACATAAGGATTTAAACTCAGAGATTGGTGACCTGTATCCAACATGCATGCACGTGCCACGTTCCGTGACGTCAGTGGGTTCGTCCTTGAGACGTGTAATACGTTGCTGCACGTGCATTCCGGGAAAGAGAAACAGAGCAAATGAATGCCACACAATACTGTCACTTTGGAAAGCTCAACCCCTGCCCTTGCGATCGTTCAAAATATTAAACGGCTATTGAAACGCATAGCATGTCAAAGCTCACGTCTGCACCACGTCATGAGGCCATGGGATGGTCCGTGGGGGGAATGTCTCAACGACAAGTGGCTGCACATTTCCACTGCCACCGGAACACCATTTCTGCACTGGTGAGACGCTACCAGAACACAAATGACGTCATCGATCGGCCACGTTCTGGACGTCCACGTGTAACAACGCCAAGACAGGACAGATGGATAAGGGTGACCCATCTTCGCCACAGGTTTCAGACTGCAGTGATGACTGCCCGAACCATCCCAGAACTTCGCCGTATCCACCCCAACACAGTTCGACAACGTTTACGTCATTACGGGATCAGACCACGACGTCCCGCCATACGGCCTATCCTGACACAACGTCATCGACAAGCTCGCCGAATGTGGTGCCGAAAGCATGTCCGCAGACCCTTGTTTTGGTGGAGAAATGTTGTTTTTACAGATGAGTCAAGGTTTAACATTTCCCATAGTGCCTATAGAGGCGTGGGAAAACGTTATGCACAGGCCTGTGTCTTGGGAGAGGAATCGCTTTGGTGGTGGTTCCGTGATGATTTGGGGTGGAATAACCAGCACGCAAAAGAACTCCTTTGGTGATTGTTCAGGGCAACTTAAATGGTGTGGGCTACAGGGATCAGATTCTTCGACCTGTAGCAATTCCCTTTCTGCAACAGCATGGCCCTTGGTTAACATTCCAACAGGACAATGCCCGCCCTCATACAGCAAGGGTTGCTATGGATTTCTTGCAACGTAACAACGTTGACTTACTGCCTTGGCCTGCAAATTCACCGGATCTCTCCCCGATAGAGCATGTTTGGGACGAGATGGATTGACGTCTACGCCGACTTCCTCATCCGCCAAATAACGTCCTTGACCTTGCAACAGAACTTGAAAGAACTGGCGTGACATCCCACAAGCCTTCCTTGCACGTCTGGTAGGCTCTATGCGTCGTCGACGCATTGCTGTTCTCGATGCCGATGGTGGACATACCCGTTATTGAGCTTGTGACATGGTCGTTTGACCCCTGCCCCGCTTGTGGACTCGTGACGTCATTGTGATTGACTTTTCAATTGAAATTCTCCCGACTTGTTATGGTCTCATGATCCCTCCATTAAAGTTTATATGTACCTTTGACACTGGTATCGTACTTATCAACTGGGATAATATTTTGACAATGCACAGTTTCTTTATGTGGTTAGTATACATGGACGTTGATTTCACCAAGGCATAACTCCAAGACTTCATCTCTAGTCATTGCACCAGCATACAATCAATGCAGATTGTCATTTCGCACGCATATAATCCCTGTAGTTAGTCATCATGCAGACATACAATTAATATAGCCTGTCATTATACGAAGCCAGTCATGTTACAAGCATAGTATCCCTATACTTTGTAATAAAGCAAGCACATCATCTTTGGTCATTACACGATTATTAGAAAGGACAACACCCCTTCCAATGTCACATCAACATTGAGCATTGGACATCGTATAGTATGATGCAATGGATACTCTTAAACTTTTAAGTCTCTGATACCATACAGGTAACCGTAGGTATATACATAGGCATACGTTGTCCCTGTCGCTCAGATATAATGTCTATATGTTACAGGCAGCTGCCTACCGGGTACGTATGGCTACCTGTGTGGATACAACTGTCACTGTCAGGCTAACACGTGTAACGTTACAGATGGATGCAGATCTCAGACTTGCATCAAAGGATGGTCAGGACCAACATGCCAGAAAAGTTAAGCAATTTTCTTTGAATCTCATTGAATGTGCATTTCTTCTAAATCATCAGAGTTGAGTTGCTAATTCGAATCTGCTTGCTGGCATACATATATACAGGCACTCGATAAACAGAAATAGTTCAAGTGCTCATGTTCTCAAATATTTTAAGCTTGCATTATACTGCTACTGGAATCCATAGCGAGACTTAAGTGGAAACAATGATTCATTTCATATTAGATTTAATCTTCTCACGTATAACGACTTTCATGAAGATAGTAACCACACAGCTTTAACGGACATTTCAAAAGTACTTCATTTATATCAGGGTATATAAGGTTTATGTGTGAGAAAGCCCAACAATGTGGTCGAGCGAGTACTGGTATAGATCTGGCGAGCCATTAATATTTAATCGGCCAAGTAGGATTCAAATCTGCGATCACTGAATAATAGAATCTTACTTCTAGTAGCATAACCTTGTGGACAATTTTGTGCACGATTTACCCACAATGTGAAGCAACGTTATCAACCACTGACCATGGGCGTCCACATCTCCCTTTTTATTGAATATATATCATCAGCCAAGTTCACAACGCTAATGGCTGGATACCAAATTGTTGATTCCGTCTGTTTTCCAGTCTACATTATTGCAATGCCCTTTATGCAAATCTTAGAATTCAGATGAATCTCAAGGAGTCTTAGATCTCAACACATCACTCCTGCTGTCAAAACCTTGCACTGGATTTCCGTCTTCTCTCGAATAATTTTCAAGATCTGTATTACAACCCATGACTGTCCCGGCAGCTATCCATCACATATTCAGGATTTCATCTCCCTATATTCTAGAGAACTTCCTATTCTCCAGTGAAGCTATACTTCATCAGCCTGTCTACTTCTGTACTTCTACTGAGTGTACCTTCTTAGTTTGCAGTCCAATGTTATGGAACTCTCTGCTTTCTGAACGAAGTGAAACGATTTCTAAAGACGTTTACGAGTTTAAAAGAATAAAAGTTTTAAACAAAAAACAAATAAACAAAAAGTTTACGAGTCTCTCCTTAAAATCCCCCTCTTCCTTACAGTATTTCACTAGACATTCGTGATTGTGCGTAAATATGTGCGTTGACGTGATTTTACTTTAGCCATAATGTAAATGGGCATCTGTCGATGGATACTAGACGTTGTTATCCGTTAAATCCTGTACTACTGCAGTTTTATGTTATATGAAGGTAAATCATAATCTAAATGCGCCATGCTAATTTTCCGAACATAGAATATCTCTAAACATTATAATGCTATTTTGAAACATGATATTATGCATGATCTCTGGCGTGATATTTCATGACAGATAACAAAGCACTCGATAAGACGACATCGGCCAGCAGCGTCTATGTGGCAGCAGGTAAAGCTGTGGACGGAATCACCATCGCGAACGACTATCTCTACTGCTTTCATTCAGCATACAATGACGGTATAAACGTTGCGTGGTGGAGAGTGGATCTGAATAAGACAACACCGATACATGACGTCACCATATACTTCCGGACAGACTGTGAGTAGCTTACATCCTACTAGTCCAGTGTACACCATCTCCCCATAAAGGTACACAGAACCAGTGGTCAGTTCTCAGCATAGTGTATGTCAGACAACAACTGGTGTAGACGACATCTTTACGGCATTGTTTCAGTGTACCTAAGTCCAAAAAGATTGTTTTTGCTCAGCTCTGAGATGTTTGACAAATGATCTTTGGGTATCTGACAAGACCTCCTACATCTACACATACATCTACTTATGTTCAAGGATTAATGTAATTGTGGCTTACAACAGGTCAGTTTTTGGGTGAACGCATGCACGTAATGATTACCTAACTTTTGAAATTATAATGTAAGTTGTTATTTATAATAATATGTAGTTTAAAGTGATTGTGCAACCGTTGAAAGCTGCGTGTATAATGCGTTTACACATGCAAGGCCAAGCGATGGTCCATTCATGAGAGTCCGCCGTTGCAGTTGTAAGTCGTCGAGAGCACTGAATGGACTTTAAAACGCAGTTAAGAAATAACTGACGACCGCCGTGACCATGAATAACCCACCTCTATCCTCCCTAATCCCAGCCCCACTGAAGCCCACCATTTAACCTCATGACAGACTGTCATATCGCAGGATATACCCAGGTGTACATTTACCTATTTAAGGTTTTTAAAGATGCATGATCCTATTCTCCTGCATGTACATATACTAATAAGGGCACTTGATTAATTTTGACGTTTTACAGATAAGGTTCGTCGGAATGGTATCCAGGTCTACATAGCTGACACTGCCGCTTCCCCAACTGACGGAGTCAAGTGCTACAACGTGACAGGGAAAGGAGACGGATCAGACATTCTTGATGTTTTGAACGTCACGTGTTCTGGTAAAGGACGTTATCTGGTCCTGTACACCACTACAATAAACAATGGTGACGCTGTACCCATTTTGGATTTCTGCGAAGTGCAGGTTGACGGTAGGGATCATGTTGGATGCCACATTTTATTTGTATCTGATTTTGATCTTTCACACGTTAGCCGTGAATATCTTAACTTGCCGTTCCTAATCGCGATGTTTTGAACCCGACGTATTCCTATTCCAGTTTTGTAGTTAAAAAATCACCGACATTATCGTTATCAACTTGTCCATTATGGACTTCTGTGAAATGGATGGCAACTGGACAAATGATGTCTCTCATCTGTATATTGAGGTGACAAACATGTTGTGGTTTCAATGACGGGCTGTGATGTTAAATGTAAATCTTACTATCGAAAAATCGAATTGTGACCAAGCGCTCCGCAAGAGACTTGTAATGTTCAAAAACCCGATAGTCTCTGATGTTAGCGAATATGATAGGTCACCTTGTAAAGGGTGGTTTAATGTTAGAGGAAGTTATCGACCTGGAACTGGAAACATTGATAATATCCTTTGCAGAAAATATGTCAATGTACATTCGCAAGCTTCATTTTACCTAAATATTCTTTACGTTCACATCTGATAGGGATGTTAAGTGTACAGTATGGCCTAAGCGTTAGTTGTATGTCAAATTGCACTTGCCACATTGTATATATTATCGTATCTTATTTGCCGAAAATGTATTGCAATCCAATACTAAAAATGCTTATGTTAACCTGCAACTCTACATACCATTAACTCAAACGTTGGGAAAGAGGTAATACAGTTAGTTTTCCCAATCATGTGTCCGTCCAATTGCTGTTTTAAATCTGAAGGATTTTAAGGTTTGATATCACTGACAATCAAATCAAAATATTGTATTAATTTGAGAGTAACCTCGAATATTCGTTATAAATTACTTAAAGAAAGTCGTATAATCTCCACATATGTATATGCGTATTTCTGTATAGGTTTGCAGTGAAATTAATGGCATGTGAGAAATATCCGATTAAATGCAGATGCAATTACAACAATTTCACTGTTTCAAACAATCGGATATATTTTACAAAAAAGAAATGACACAATACATACAATTGAGAATTGTGAATTTAACCTCAACAGTACAGTAGTCTAACTCACCCACAAATATTCTCTCTTACATCAAGGGAAAAATGAGAACTAACGTATATTTAAAGACGAAATGAGTCTTCCTTTCGTTCAGAGTACATTTAATTAGTAATGTACAGTTCTCCTGTTGCACTCGACTATTACTTTCGGGTACCAAATGTATATATTTTAATGATGTGTTCTTTGACAAGCGATTTCATTAAATAGTTTAGCATTTGTAAGTACAGGAGGAGGGAAGGTAGAAGAAGGAACCCAATAAAGCTACTAAAACACAGCAGTATGCTTGGGCATTTGCTTAACCTGTATGTTACCTTTTTCAACAGTGTGCGCTCCTGGTACTTTCGGCTCTGTCTGTGACAACTACTGCCACTGTGCTGGTGATGTCTGCAACTTCGTGAACGGCGTTTGTCCTAGTGGAGTCTGTCTACCAGGCTGGCAGCACGACGAGTGTGACACAGGTTCCTATTTTTTTGGCTGATATTTCGGTTGGTTTTCACAGTACAACATTCATTATCGTATATCCGTCCTTGGTTTTAACACATATAATTAATAAAATCAATTAAATACAGGATGATGATGATTAATCATAGAGCTCAAGTGTAACTATATTAAGAAACTTTATGTTTTCAGAGTGTACCCAATTCAGTTATGGACAAAACTGTAGTAAAAAATGTTCTGATAGGAACTGTAAGAACGACAACTCTAGCTGTGGCCATGCGACAGGGGTGTGTGTCGGAGGTTGTAAGACTGGATGGAATGGAACAGACTGTACACAGGGTAAGAACGTATATACTAACAACAAATTTATTCCTGTCCCGGCGTGTTGATAACTGCCATCAGGTATCTCAACCACAAACTGATGAACAAAACCCTTGCAAAAATCTGATTTTCTAATATGACTTTTCTCTGTATATGGGCAAACATATATTTGATAAGCTAGTTCTTCCTACACATTTGATGATTGGTACTAATGTATTCAAACCTGACTAAAGAATGCCCAGGTTCCTACGGAGATGGCTGTGCTTACCAGTGCTCTGCTAGAAAATGCCGTGGGACATCGACATGTGATCACGTGACAGGCAAGTGTGAAAACGGCTGCAATCCCGGATGGAAGATAGCTGACTGTACACAAGGTGAGACACCATTTTTTGGTTGTCGCACACGATGGTGCATGACCCTTGGGCCATTGCAGTTAGTATTTTCTCCATGATACTACAAACAAAAAATATATTCAAATATGTAGATGTTGACATGCGTGCTTTACAGGTAATGATAATGCAATGAGTTAATGCATTCTCCAGTCCAGTATCAATCCATGAACGTCAAGAAAACTGTCTTTTCCAGTCAAGAAGGTAACATAGTATGCATGCAGTGGTATGAAAATCATATGACAAAGGGACATCTTTTTGTTTGCAGAATGCACCAAAGGCATTGAATATGGATCTGGCTGTGTTGGTAACTGCAGTGCCCGGAGGTGTGATGGTGGTACAGGCGCCTGTCCCCCGGACACAGGCCAGTGTGAATCTACCTGCGTGTCAGGGTGGCAGGGGGAGGACTGCGCGCAGGGTAAGAGATAACTCCCGTTGTGGTCGAACATGGGATATCTGTTCATGTCTGACGAGGCAGATCATAATGGATATCTTTTTATTTACTAACTGCTTTGATGAACATGTAGTTTGTTTTCAGAATTGTCTGTTCTTGTGCGGCGTTCGATGCCCGATAGATGTGTGATAAGTTTAAACTTTTTAGACTGACTGTTCCCAATTGCAGACGCTGCTTTTCATTGTGATGTTCACATAAAATCATCTCATAATATGGATTTACTGACAATATAGTAGTCTTTATAAATTTACAATAACAACACATGACTGTCGTAATCCCGTGGTAGATTACACTGAAGAAAGATGCTACCATTTCAGAATATTTTCTCTTCTTTTCTAGAGCAAGATGAAGCGCCAACGTCCACTGCAGAAATCTTTACGTCAGCTGGTGTTGTAGTTGCAGCAGCCGTCGTTGTTATCGTTGTTGTCTTGGTCAGGTAAAGAAATAGTATGTTGGTAAATTATACGAAACATAAACACTCGATTGTTTAACCATTTGTACCAGAGAGGCAGCGTGGATACCATCTCAGTACCTGCCTTTGAAACGCATGACCATCTGTAAATGATGACAGAAAAGACAAGATGCTCACACTTAAAGTGAAATCATTATCTACATACTTAAATATTCAATACAGACTTTCAGGTATTTCGGTTCACACTTAGTAAACTGTTTGATCAATATTATACATACTAATTTCAACAAGGAGCATGATAGTTCATGGCAATGTAACGCATAAATAAATAAGTATTTTTACTTGTACAGTTATGTATTTGGGGTCTATTTTGAAACCTATACTTTGATGATCTGTGGTTGATCAATAGCATGACGCACATTCTCTTCTGCACAATACAAGTTGCTAAAGCAAACCATTCTTATTTGTAGAAGACGAAGAAGTCAAGCAGCAAAAAAAAGATATAATCATGCAGATATGTCCCTGGAGCAGATAGGTTCGTATAAAGCAATAACGTACACAATTATAAACTGACATACAGTAAAGTCCACAAGCAACGTAAATGATGATCTATGCCGTTTATTATTTTTGTTCCGTAATGGTCAGGAAAGTTGAAAAATATTCTTCTCAATTAAAAGTATCTTTGTTCGTTTTGATGTTGTCGGTTGTTTGTTTTATTTTTATCACCAAACCAAGCTTTTGGACAATCCATCACTGGACGCGATGATTTATCATTTAGTTGTATTCCATGGTCTGTGACATCATTGTTGATACAAAGGTTAAGGTTATCGTGTGTGTGACATTGTAAACAAACCCGGAAATGATAATCAGCTGTACATTATTATTTCGAAAACTTAATCATGTTGTTTTGGATTTATGATATATACATATATCAAACTTAAGCTTAGCACTTTGTCGTACCGTCGAATATTCTTTGAAAATTACTTTGTACATTTTTCTTCAGTTGTTAGCGATCTATAGCCCATTTTCACATTGTATTGTCCAAAACTAATTTTCTACTTTTAAAGATATATTCTAGCTAGTTTTAACACAATCTGTGATAATCCAGTGGTTTTACTGTCCTTCGTTGACAGGGTTTTATATATCATATGTATTTACGTATCATATGAATTTACTCACTCACTCTCTTTGTACATTTTTCATTTGTATAGACGTAAGCCGCTATTCACACATACACACACACACACACACACACAAACACACGCGCGCGTATCGTCTGTTTGCATAGTCACGTGCAACGGGCACTTGTTCCCTTTAGCCTTGATTGTGGTAGATAAGAGGCACCTTGACAATATGTGTGCAACTGCCCTGTTGGCAGATATGATGAACGACCCTCTGCCTACCAGCGTTGGGGACTCAGACGAGTGCCTAGACCCTCTGTGTGCAAATGCTGTGGACTCGGACGAGTACCTCGACCCTGTGCGTGCAGGTGCCGTCGTGGTGGTGGGCAAGAAGGACGAAGCGGCTGTAGATGAGGACGACAACGACACGTACTACAACACAGCAACTGCTCCTGCAATAACGTTGGTGTCTGTAGATAAGCTACAGGAGCGGATCCAGGAGCTGCAGGTGCCCGTCGGGGGCTTCCAGGCAGAGTATCAGGTACGACAAAAAATTTGGCAGAACGAGGTACGAATTAATCCGATTTAAAGTGACCAACAGGACCACATAATAAGACGGCGAGATATTACCAGATACCGATCCGCCATCATAACGTGACTATTACTATGAAGATATAAACTTGACATTGCAAGGTGTAATAGGAGTATATTATTTAATTAATGAACAAAGTTAATCTGGCCATAACACCTCAGGAGGTGCGCCTCAGGAAATAAGGAATATACAAGGTTCTTGCAGTCACGTACACCATTTAAGGTCTTTTTTATTGAGCTTATCTTTAATCAACAACATTCAATCATCGGCAGAATGAGACGCAAAATGTTTCACCATGGTTTTTCCTGAACGGTCATAAAGGGAGATAACTCGGGATGGCTTAGTTTATAATAAAAATGGTCGAAATCGAGGTTTTGTTTAACGACAAGTGAATACAGAAACATTTTCTTTTCGTTTTCTTTGGATACATTTATTGACACAGACAAATGTATGGCAACAATTTTATTGGCGTATACGCCAAAACTAGAATTTCGAAGCAATTAGCCGTTTGGCAGTCACATTCCATCTAAAGTCAAGGTCATTCGTACAACCCGTGTAGTGAATCATGTGACAGATTTGACGGGGTGTACGAACCGTACACCCTGGCAAATCGGCCTACATTGTTTCGTATACTTTGACTATTGACCAAACAGAATTCGACTTATTTATCTCAGGTAAGGGTAATAAAAAGAAATATTACCAGGTAACAAAAGTGCTTCCACCTCATCAGTGACATCGATGTTAAACGTTTTCATGTACTTTTATAGCCAGAAATACCATAAGCGTACATTAGCACTTCTTCTTCACATAGTGTTGTGCATTGATCAGGCCCCAACGTCTCTATAAGGAAGGTTACTATAAGGAAGATGACAAAATCTAGAACCATGTACTTCTAACCTATCATAAATTAAGAAAGGGCTCGAGTACATCCCTTACTGATATGGTGGAATGTATCCAGTATTCTAGATTCTCGCCAGTACTATGGTATCCAATGATCAAGAGGAAAAAACAGAGCCTTGAGCGTGTACTAGTTGCGTGAATATGTGCTCTATATAAATATCATTATATCAAATACCAGCTCACTCACTCACTCACTCATTCACCCTCCATTATATATATTCAGGTTACAAATATATGTACTTCCTATCATTGATTTGAAGTATTGTGCTTAGATAGAATAACGACAATCGTTACGGTATCATCAGTCTGTTTGAGATCTGTTGAACTTGGTTGAACTTGAGATTGGTTGTTCAAGTGACGTTTACTTTCATGTTACTTCCAACTTCACACTTCGCCAATGAATAAATCCTGAAACACACGCGAACTGATACACGACAGAAACTATCTACTGCCTTCACCCGTCCTTACAAAGACTCCCAGCTACCGGAAAACAAGGGGAAAAACAGATTCACGAATTACTACCCATGTAAGTCTGATTCAGTATTCTTAATATCAAATACGGACACTTGCGATACAAAGACATAAATGGCACCAATTGAATATTTCTACTTATGATATTCTAATGTTATAAAGGATAGGTTTTGATTGCATCAACATTTCATCAACAAATGAAGATTGCAGACTGTGGACGGTATCAGTGTGGACTGTATCAGAATTTTTAGTTTGGTTGTGGTGCTGGTGATTGACTGGGGCATCTACATTAATACTTAAGCACAAAGAAACCTTTTGTAAATGCTCAAAAGAGGTGTTTTGACTATATTTGGACTAATTTCTTAAAAAGATTGTTGAAATCGTCACTAAAGGGAGTCCATAAAGTCCAAAGTCCTCATTTGTTGAAAGTAATTGTGAATATGAGGACTAGTTAAGCGTAAAGTCGTATAAACGTTTTGTTCTTCATTATCAAACAAGACGGCTCTATCCATGGCCATGTTTCCTCTATTCCAGATGATGACACCCGGGTCAAGTTGCAGACTCTGCCAGACAAGCCTGGTTCTGACTACATAAATGCCAGCTACATAGACGTTAGTAGGATTTAACATTAACTGATGGAATTGTTAGTACTGTTTAACTTTAATGGCTCTGTGCATCATTAGGTGATGCCAATAGTTTGCAGTGTATGTGAACCGCAACCACATGTTCAGGGCTACTCTCAACCTAGTTCTGATTACATAAATGGCACCTACATAGACGTTAGTAAGGTTAGGATTGACTTTCTAACTATAACTTATATTTATAAGACGAGTATATGGATGACAACTTCTTGTCATCAGTCATCCATATACTCGTCTTATATGTTCACTAAATTCTAAATGCCTCTCAAGAATCTCATAACTTATATTCCTTTTTGATATCTAAAAAAATAGTATTGCAGGTAGTTTACACATAAAACTTTACAAGATCCGATCTTGTTTCAGGGCTACTCTGAACCTAAAGTCTACATAGCAGCGCAAGGTCTTGTTTTCTTTTCTAATGTCTAGTCTTATTCAATGTACTGCACAAACATATAAGTAAATAAAAATAAATAGAACTGAAATGGAACATATGGTTAAATGGTTTCTTGCTACCGCGATTCTGTATGAGGTCAGCTGAAAATATGAAATAGAATAGCAAAATATAACGGATATCATGTACCTATGGTTATTTTTGGAGTGTGCGATAACGATTCCGACATTTAATCCCTGAGTCAGCGCTTTGAGCATGCAATGTACATGGATAAATGAGCAGTATAAATGGACTATTATTATTAAATTCATAATCATATCTACAAATTGTCATTTCCGCATCCATCCATTGTGCAGGTCCTAACAGGAAGACTCTGACTGACTTCTGGAGGTTGATCTGGGAAAAGAACTGTACAAGAATCGTCATGCTGACTAATCTCATGGAGATGGGGAAGGTCAATATTATACAAGTTAATGTCAAACTTATAGTAAACATATCCTTTATGCAAATGGTAAATATGCGTCAGATAATAACATTAAATATGAATGAATCCCACATTTGATATTTTGAGTGTTATAGCCAAGATCTGACTAGATGTAATGAACAGGTGTAACCTAGGAGTTATTGAAAGAACATCAGGTAACATAACACCATTTGGACCTTTATGTAGACGAAGTGTGCTGCGTACTGGTCGGACAAAAAGGATTGGACTGTAGGGGACTTCAACATAGCTGTAATCAGCTCAAGCGAGAGAGCACACTGGGTTGTGAGAGAATTACAAGTTACGGAGAAAAAGGTAAATATATTCTTACTTGACTTTATAGATACAATCACCGAATCTATGAATATTCATATTCGAGTACAGGACAGGCAAGGGTGTATTCATGATTATGTTTAGCACAGTCATTCACTTTTGACTACAAATGTGTCTCTCTCTAAATAGCGGCATTGACCATAAGCTCAGTAGCATATCTAAGTATGTTCAGTCAACTACAATACAAATGTTTGGTCCGAGACATTACAACTGACCCAACAAATGTAATTCTCAGACGTTTTCTTTACTTATACGCATTGAAATATCTCTATGTCTTCTCAGCAGTCATAATTCCAAAATACCAAACTGGATTTTTCGGTTCATCAATAATTTGATTGTCTGATTTGTTTACTAGTCGCATGGCATGTACATACTTCTGTTTATAGGCAGATTTTTGTGAATGGCGGGTGCTACCATTAGGGCAAGACATGCTTATCCTTTTCGCGAACAGCTGGTGTCATCACTGATTTTCAGTGATCCATTCATATAATTTTCACAGCTGTTTATCCCCTTCACACAAAACGGATTTTGTTTCTGGGGATAGTCAAGACTGGGTATTCCTTTGCAATCGCGTTATATATTTATTACATTCATATTATTTCATATGCCTTTAGACAAGCAATTGTCGTCGCTTCCATCAATTCCACTTCACAACATGGCCTGATCACTGGATTCCTGAGGAGACGTCCTTGGCTGAGTTTCTGTGGCTGGTGAGGACAGCAGCTAACACCCATGATGGCCCTTTACTTGTGCACTGCAGGTAGGAGACTTTACATCCCCCTTGGTGTTTACGAGAAGACATCATCTATTTATTCAACATACTTGTAGGATGTAATGCAAATTACACACATTTAATCCTTTCTTCTTGATGGTTTATAGTTATCATGTGATGTTATAATCGAACTTGCTCGCTGCTAATTGCAATTGTATTGTACAGTCACATAGTTATCAATATTATTGAGGACAATTTTAACCCCAGTGCTGGGATCGGCCGGACAGGAACTTACATCGCTGTGGACTACCTATTGGACCATGCTCTGACTGAAGATAAGGTCGATGTGTTTGGTTGTGTCTCCAAGATGAGAGATCAAAGAAAGGGCATGATACAGACCAAGGTGAGACATGTCTCCTCAATCTGCAGTTGTTTTTGTTCTTACCTGTTTAAAAATGCGTATACCGACTATGGGCCGTAATGAACAAAAACATTTTCTCTTGTCCTTTTCGTTTCCATGAAACACAAATATGACATTTCTTCGCATTTTCGACGAATGTTAACGTTTGTTTCATCGTAACCTCAGGAGCAGTATGCGTGTGTATACCTGACACTACAAGAGGCGCTGGAGTTTGGAAACACAACTATGGATGTGCAGGTGTTCAGTCAGAATCGAAATGAGAAAAGAACCTTCAAGATGGGATGCATGGAACCCACACAGTTAATACAGGTAGATGCAAAAATATTCAGATAATAAACTACTAGTAAATTATCCCTGATGGACCGTGACATGTATATATTTGTTCCACATAGATGTATGTCATGTTTTTAGTGAGTGAGTGAGTTTTGCACCGCTTTTAGCAATATTTAAGCGATATCACGGAGGGGGACACCAAAAATGGGCTGCACATATTGTACCCATGCAGGGAATCGAACCCGTGTCTTCAGCGTGACGAGCAGACGCTTTAACCATTCGGCTACCCCACCGCTGCATGTTTGTAACTAATGCCTTTCAAAAAACGTTTTAGATCCTGAATATCAAGAGAGAGACTTCAGGAAATGGTAAGTAAGCGAAGCTTTGTAAATTCATTATACATATGAACAACCTGTTTCGATTGTGTCAAATGTCGTCACTGCGACACATTTGAAAAGCTAGTACGTCGGTAATAAAAACTATTTTCAGGGGACAAGTTCAAGGGACGTCTGTATATTGATGGGCGCTCAGACATCGTAGCTGTAGAAGTGGAGGTAAGCATTTTAGGTGTGGGTAGTTTTGAAATCGTGAACTGTTGGGCTCGTAATTCATTGATAGATGAGTCTATCAAGTTATGTCACAACCTTAAAAGCACTTGAGATATGCCAGTTCACCCTGAATCCGACTGATGAACTCGGTTCTGGAATATTATGCAGTTTACAAAGTATTTTTGCAAACCAACAACACATCTAGGTATTATTTACTTGATCACTTTCTTTGAGTTTATTGTGTGTTTTCTCAGAACCATGGCCCTGACTGTAGTGCTGGTAGTGACGAAATCATACTGCAAATCGTTATTCATTGGCAGGAAGTTGTCATGGACATTTTCAAGAGCTTTGGCCCTTCCTAAACGTTTATAAGCTTGGTATAATTACTATTGTGTAGCACTTCATAAGCTCATATTTATGATACAGTTTCACTCTTATAAAAGATGGTTGTGATTATGGCAATGGTGCTGTGGCTTATTCACCTGAAAGTCGACCTTTGAAAAGTGCAATAGATCAAACAAAACACCAAGTTTGATCACCCAATTCATTTGGTCTCCTCAAAGGACAAATACAGGGTGTTTGTACCCATGCTCCAGCCCATGTTCTACCCTACGATAGATCTGTATGCGAATTTTGAAAATGTTATATCACGGTGATGTATATATACCGTTCCTCCTTCAGTCTCACCTGTCCATGAAAGGCTATCTACTGACTGAAGCTCCCTCCGTCACCACGGCGTCTCTGTTTTGGAAACTCATAGAACAACAGGAGTCTGGTACTGTCATTGTCCTGCCAGACTCGCACCAGGTGAGGGGTTGTCTTTCACTTACTCCTGTTTTATTTAAACGATCACACTCGGTGAGGTGTTACATTTGAACCAATGACTATACTTTCAGAATCTGTCCAGCTATGTGCCTTCTCCAGGAGGGAGTCTGAACGTGAGTCCAGTCAGTGTGAGGTGTTCAACAGAGAACACAATCAACCCCGACATCGTGCTCAGGAGCGTACACATACAGATTAACGTAAGCCTTCATTTGCTATATGTTTACCTTAAATATATGTTTATGTAAGTTCCTATATGCGTTTCTTTTTGGGAGAGTATACTAACGTCAACAATAACAACCAAGCGGACTTCTTATTCAATCATTAAGTCAACATAAACCACAGACTAAAATATGACATTTAAGACACTGTTCACTGTATGCAACACACGTCTCGCCCAATCTGTAGCTTTCTATCAAGAAACAGAAACATATTCGTACAATTAATTGCTTTATCAATTAATCAAATATAACAAAATCATATGCAATGCATATATTATTCTATATAATATAAATTAAATGTTTTGTATGGTGACCTAAGATGAGGAATGAATGAATAGTTAATGGATACGCGAGACATCAACCAATTTCAACCATTCTTAGTTAACATGTGTTGTTTAAATATGTCAGGTATTCCCCGTGTCGACAAATGATCCAGTATATCATATGCTATAGGATTTGTTACTGATTAAAACAAAATCTAACTCTTACAAATGACAACTGACCAGGACCGTCCGCCATCCCCAGTGCATGTGTACATAATGAAGCAGTTTCCAGAAGATTCCCACTCCATGCTCTTGGAACTGCTGGAACAAGTAGATCTTCATACGAGTGGGGATGAATCCCAACCAGTTGCTGTCATCTACAGGTACACATAAAATCTTTATGACTGATGAGACTTCAGCTTTACTGTTAAACCTAATCTAACTCTTTGTCGATATAACATGTGAAAGAATGGCCATGATCCCTCGCTATATTCCATGTTATCAGTTGGCAGTAGAAGCACCATACAAAGTTGTACTGACCAGCTTTCCGGGCAAAAATAATGCCAAACTATTTTCGAAACAGTTTATTTGGTTACATGAATTCATATGTACATTTTTATGTTAAAGTGAATCTGACAGACAGAGAGGTGCAATATTGTGCATCCTGAGCAATATTGTTCAAGGCCTGAAGTATGACAAAACAGTTGAGATCTACAACAACGTGAAGGATATGGTCCACTGCCTGGATCAAGATATCACACAGGTACCTTTAGCATGAAGTGTCAGTGTATTTTGGTATGACTTCTTAACAACCATATGGACGTCTGAATTCCCAAAAAATGTTGTCAAGGTTTCTTAACTTAAGCAAAACCTGCATTAATTAGGATTAAATAAAATTAATGTTTAAGTCCTGATTAAAATCAAGCTATAACTATGTGTGTCTCCAATTCATTTATAGCTAACAGTGACTAAAAAGCCGAATTGAATTAAGGAGCATTAGTTTGGAATGTTTCAACACACCAAATTACACGAGATGAAAGTAAACCGGTTGAGACCAAAGTGTTGAGAATAATGATGGGAATATTTCCGCTATCTGTTTGAAGATATGTTTGATAATCATGTATGCGTACTTAAATCGGTACATGATGCTGACTTTAACATAAAAGGCATTTGGTCAGTTTTATGTCCACATTCATCGCCCCTACTCTTTGAATACTTTTTTTACAATAGCATAAATCATCTACTTAATTGAGGAACTAAGTTATTTCTTGGAATGCTCATTAAAATTAATTGTTTCTTAATATCGAAATTGTCTCGTCTTATTGTCGAAATTCTTTGGAGCTCGTCATTTTATCCTCACCTCGGATGTGCATGTTTTAGGTGGATTGTAGTAAATGAATCGCAAGTAAGTCAGATTTTCATTTGGGATCCATGGCTGTGATTTCTTCCTCCCTTCTGCAATTAACTGACGGGTTATATATCATTATCAAAACTGGTGATATTTCCCATCGTATCAGCATTATTAGTAAAACTTATAGATCATAACATCCAGTCACATCCCTTTGCGAACAGAATTATATTTTTCAAGTTATATGACATCATTACCGAAGTAAAGAATGTCTATTGAAATCTTTTCTATTGTACAGGCTGACGTTGCTCTTTGTTATGACGTAGCTTTGGAAGGCATAGAGTCGCAAAGCATCTACGAAAACGTCTAACAAGCAACTATTCTCCTTCATGGACCAACAAACCTCCGGGCTTCAACTTACAGATCAGATTTGATGCCATTAACGCACCAGTAACAATGAACTTTTATTTGTAGTCTTCATATTTTCCTCTCTACATTTTCTCTTATAATTTTGTTATTTCTTATCTTATGATTGAGTTTACATTTGCATAGTTGATTGATTGATCATTAAAGAATTTAATATGTGTTCAGGCATCGAGACCCATTTACACCTTGCCCATCATGAAACGTTGCTCAGATTCTAAACACTTCATAAATTAGCAACACACTTTAAGGTATGCAAGAATTACATTCTGAACTTCATGACGAGCTATATTCCTGGTAACGTCTGAATCTTTTGTTTTGTACCTGATTCATATTTAAGAAGAGTTAAGTTTGTTATTGTGTTAAGAAGATTGCTATACTGGTGAAATGCAAGTGTATATTGAGGGTCAGACCAACAATCATATCTTCAGGCATAATTGAATTAAACTCTGTGTTCGCATAATAATGAGTACTGGAAGCACCTTTAAAATACGTAACTAAGGCCTTAGTCACCTGTAAACCCGTGAAAAGGGTTCATTCAAACAATTTATTCTTATATTCATTGTGCTAACATCGTCATACAGTGAATCCCTGTTGGCCATAAGCTTATGATGTCTTTGTATATGATAATACAAGAGGGACACTCACACATACATCTTATTATAGTAGGACGTTGGGTCATTATTTTTTCATATCTATTTTTGGAAAATTATTTATCTGAAAATGCACAGAAACTTGTATATGTTGTACTTATATATCATGCATCGCTCATCTAATCTTTGTTCCCTCATATGGGTTTATCTCACGCTCTAACCTATATCATTGTAGCTGCTTGTTTGACAGAATCGTGTTCCTATCACACCTATCTCTTTGGGATGCTGTTTGGTTTCCCTGAATATATACTAGGCACATAAAGAAACTGTGCATACAAACATTTAAAATCTAAATTTATCAAGCCTGTGTAGACACATAAGGATTTAAACTCAGAGATTAGTGACATGTATCCAACATGCATGCACGTGCCACGTTCCGTGACGCCAGTGGGTTCGCCCTTGAGACGTGCAATACGTTGTTGCACGTGCATTTCGGGAAAGAGAAACAGAGCAAATGAATGCCACACAATACTGTCACTTTGGAAAGCTCAACCCCTGCCCTTAAACGGCTATTGAAACGCATAGCATGTCAAGGCTCACGTCTGCACAACGTCATGAGGCCATTGGGATGGTTCGTGGGGGAATGTCTCAACGACAAGTGGCTGCACATTTCCTCTGCCACCGGAACACCATTTCTGCACTGGTGAGACGCTACGAGAACACAAATGACGTCCTCGATCTGCCCTGTTCTGGACGTCCACGTGTTACAACGCCATGACAGGACAGATGGATAAGGGTGACCCATCTTCGCCACAGGTTCCATACTGCAGTGATGAATGCCCGAACCATCCCAGGACTTCGCTGTATCCATCCCAACACAGTTCGACAACGTTTACGTCATCACGGGATCAGACCACGGCGTCCCGCCATACAGCCTATCCTGACACAACGTCATCGACAAGCTCACCGAATGTGGTGCCGAAATCATGTCCGCAGACCCTTGTTTTGGTTTAGAAATTTTTATTTTTACAGATGAGTCCAGGTTTAACATCTCCCATAGTGCTGGACGTCAACGTTCCTTTAGGCGCGTGGGAGAACGATATGCACAGGCTTGTGTCTTGGAGAGGAATCGCTTTGGTGGTGGTTCCGTGATGATTTTGGGGTGGAATAACAGCACGACAAAGAACTCTTTTGGTGATTGTTAAGGGCAACTTAACTGGTGTGGGCTACCGGGATCATATTCTTCGACCTGTGGCAATTTCTTTTCTGCAACGTCATGGCCCTGGGTTAACATTCCAACAGGACAATGCCCGCCCTCATACTTCAAGAGTTGCTATGGATTTCTTGCAACACTACAACGTTGACTTACTGCCTTGGCCTGCAAATTCACCGGATCCCTCCCCGATAGAACATGTTTGGGACGAGATGGATCGACGTCTACGCCGTCTTCCTCATCCGACAGATAACGTCCTTGACCTTGCAACAGAACTTGAGAGAATCTGGCGTGACATCCTACAAGCCTTCCTTGCACGTTTGATAGGCTCTATGCGTCGTCGATGCACTGCTGTTCTCGATGCCGATGGTGGACATACCCGTTATTGAGCTTGTGACATGGTCGTTTGACCCCTGTCCCGCTTGTGGACTCGTGACGTCATTGTGATTGACTTTTCAATTGAAATTCTCCCGACTTGTTATGGACCATGATCCCTCCATAAAAGTTTATATGTACCTTTAACATTGTCATCGTACTTATCAACTGGGATAATATTTTGACAATGCACAGTTTCTTTATGTGGCTAGTATAGCTTTAAAATTGGCATTTTGGGTAGTTAGTGATATTTGTTCATTGAGATGAATTTAATCTCTGCACTGTCATGAAACCCTAAAGCGACATGTGCAATGTATAATGATACAAATTAGTTCCTTGTGTAATAAATAGTAACACATACTAGTTGCATTATGGTAACATTACCTTGTGCACTATACAAATCTCAGATTTGATTTGCGTGAACAATATATCACGCATTTACAATAATCATTATATGTGCGTGTGTGTCTCTGTGTGTGTGTGTGTATGTTTGTGTGTGCATGTGGATTATATGCTTTATGACAACCACTGTAGTCCATAAAAAGTAACTTCAAAGTGTCAAAATCACACAGAAGTAAATGTTGCATGTTCATGTAACACATGTAGTCTCACCTTTGGCAAGGCCTTTGTTGATAACATGCCTCTGTTCACCCAGCAGTGATTGGGTATCCAGTTGGATGAGATGGAGACGATTGTTAACCAACACAGGCTGCTTCAGTTGTATTTGCAAACTGATCGCTGACCGTGATAGTAATGTAAGCGCTTTCAGCATACACCTTGTGTGTGGAAGTTATTAACGTTAGCGCAATGTAATTGCACACATGTTCATTGTAATTACTGTTTAGCAAAGTCTGTTCACTCTGTTACACTCTTTTTCAGTCACATTTGATATTATTTTCTCTTTGTTTACATTTTTAAATCTATCAAAAAAATATTTTCACAGATACTTTGTTTTCTGTTGTTCATCAACCCACGACCGCATATACCTCGTTTGGCTGATATTAAACAGAAAATACCCTGTTTAATATCCGTTTTATCAAACACCTCCCCGATTCAAGTTTGGAAACACTACTCAATATATTTGATGACATTGGGACAACCGGCAACTTTCCGCCTTCGTAGCACAATGCCATTATCATCCCTATACCAAAACCTGGCCGGGATCATACTTTTCCCTCAAACTACCGTCCATATCACTAACTAGCTGTGTTTGTAAAACCATGGGGCGCATGGTCAACAATAGATTAATCTGGTACTTGGAGACCAATAACCTCCTTAGTTACCTCCAATGTGGTTTCAGAAACAACCGAAGTACCACTGACCATCTGGTGCGTCTGGAATCTTTTATAAAAAATTCCATTGTCAACAAAGAACATACAGTATCCATCTTTTTCGATTAAGAAAAAGCATGCGATACAACGTGGAAACATGGTATCTTAAAGGATTTACATGAATTTGGATTGAGGGGTAGATTACCTCAATTCATATCTCAGTTTTTGAGCAGCAGACAATTTCAAGTGCGGGTAGGTTCCACACTGTCTGATTATTTCCACCAAGATCAGGGCGTCCCTCAAGAAAGCATCCTGTCTGTCACCCTTTTAAGCATAAAAATTAACAGCCTCACTAACGTCTTGAACAGTTGTGTTGATGGGTCCCTTTTTGTGGAATTTCGTGGATTTCAATAATTCATGTCGTGGTAAGAACATGCACGCAATATAAAAACAAAATACTGGACAAAAAATGGTTATTGTAGTTCTGGCTATATATTGCATCCTCATTGTTTGTCTCCATACTTAAGTTCATCATACAGAAAGTGTCATGGTGCGTGTTCCACGGTTATCAGTGTACATGTATGTGGTATTACTCAAGTATTAATGTGCACTGAAATAATAACATCAACATACAGGAAGGCTATTGTCCCTAAACGCTGAAAAGATATTATATAAAGGAACCCTAGATTATTCAGGAACCAAAGTGATATACGGGCTACCAGAGATGCTACGAGGGTGAAAATGGCAAGGTGATTTAAGAAGATATATACCTGGTCCTTTTGTTTGGATTAGGTGTTATCTACATAATCCAATAAGTACAAAACAGTAAGCTAGACATTGCTAGCGCCTGGATCATGAAACTCCTCAACGACGCCATATTTCAGTAAAAGGAAAGCGGCGAAGAAAGCAACTGATGATAACAACTGAAGTCCAGTGTCCATAGACTTCACACGATACCGAAGGCTAGGGAGATCATACAGTGCGCATGCGCGGACCTCACCACATGCTGTTTCCCAGAGAGTACACGTGGTGTCAATGACCATACCATACACAATAGGTGAAGGCAGGAAACCTGGGTAGAAGAATACGTTCAATATATTTTACCAATATCAACAAAACATACATATTCTACATAAAACATTAAATTCTCAATTCTGTAAGAATCTGTTTTTAAAATAATATGTAACATTCTTAACATTATTAAGAGGCTCTATCCTCTTTCATTAAGTGGTTGCTGTGACTGTCCAATTGGAGCGAACACAGGGACAAGTCCTTTACACGGGACTAGTTATATACTCTTATATATGGATGTAAATTAATACCTACCAACAAAACTATTAGGGAAAGACGAAAAAGCGACAGCCATGGACTTGTCACTTGGTTGCACGGTCCTTTGAAGCAAATCAAAGCAATCAGTCAGTTTTTACAAACATATAAGTCAATATAGCATGCACGAAGTGAGATATAAATTTATTGAAACAAACATCATCGAATTTGTCATTCAGAATTTGATGACACACGGACGACGAGTTAAGGGGCGTTAAGTATTGCCTGTTGACCTTTGATGTGCATATGACCTTGCACGTCAAGGCTTGTCCGTAGAGTATTTCAGATGAAGCTGGTTAGGGCAGCATCTTTTTTTATGTGTTTCACGTAGCCACCAAATTCTAAACACGGGTCGGTCGTCGGGGGAATTTTTTTTAGAAATACAATTCTATCTGAATAATGTTCTTGATTCGCATTTACTGTAATTCTTATTACAATCGCTCGCGTTCTTTGGAATTGTGGCAGTGACTGATAAAAAGATATATGACGAGGCGGTAAGTTTTTGGTTCGAGTCGGCGGTGCTGGAATGAAAAAAAGTAAAAAATAAAATTAAACGGGTCGGTAGGGCGACGAGAAACACAGAAAATAAAAATGCTGCGCTTAATGTTATTCTATGACGTTGCCTTCCAGATCAATAGTATAACATAAATGATTGCAAGTAAGGATACACACAAACAGTACGTGCTAGTACCCGTGTTGTGGACATACTGTTAAAATACGAGAGTACCTTCTGGAAGGATATGTTCAGGGTGCTTCTAATTAATCCCATCACGTTAAATATCACTAATCCTGACTTATAGGATTTGTTTCTGTTTAGCTCTATGACACCTTTAAGCAAACAACTGTAACAACAAAATGCTGACATGTTGTGTAACTGATATTGAAAGATTTACTCAATAAAGGTGTTACAGGACCCGATTTGCATAGATCGATACTGATGTAAGGTCCAAATGCGTTGTAGATAGACTCTTCCAAACGTTAAACCCTTAATGAAAATCGTTTCGGTTGGATTTGGAAAAATAAAAAAAAGAATGTGGAGACAGAAAGTGTATAAATCAATCCGTCATCAACGATGACACCGAATGAAAATGTCGATTGTATAGGATTCCGATTTATCATGAGCATGTGTTTGTGAATCATTATGAAAAGAGTGATGATACTCCTTGTTAAGGAAAGGGTGTCCAACATGATTTAGAAGACAAGCTCATGTCATTTATATATTCTACTACACGACAATTACAGTTTGTGTCAATAAATATATTTGGTACAATGTCCTGGTAAGCCGCAAAATTATCGGAAACATATACATATACATTTCATAAATGAATGTATTTTCATCACAGTGTTTTGATATTGATTTCATATAACTAGATTATGTATATATTTGTATATTATTCCAACTCAAGACAACTGAAGCCGACAAACCAGAGACAGTAAAGTTGAACGAACTAAAATCCTGTTTACAGATGTCAACCTGCCAGTTTTTACAATGTAGGTGAAACCACCAGCTTCGTGTAAAACCTGAAAAGTACCTACTTCATTAAGGTAAAGACAACAGGGACCATGGGAACTGTCGCCAAAGTCCCACAAACCATGTCAACGATGACGAAGGGGTAAAAGTAGGGACAGTCCGCTTGACATCTTCCCGCTGTGCCCTCGTTACCAGCAATCTCAGTACATCCCGCGTATATCTGAAATATCTCTACTTTACAAAGAAGACACGAAATACAAACAAATTACAAACTGAAAGTAGACAATTGAAAGATAAGGTAAACAGGGTACTTTCAGATGAAAACATCAGTGTATTCCCGTATATATGTGTGATACTAGCATCCCACTGTATAAGGATGGTAACGAGGTCAAGTTTGAGTGACCTCCCTTGTATTTTTATTGCGTCAGAACCTTTAATGTATAATTTCGTCACGTTTTATATTACCCTTTTCGCGCGAACACTCTAACTTACCGCGACGAGTTTATTACAGATGTGTCTGATTAAATGTTTACTGATTACCATGTCTTAGTCTTGGCATATAAATTATCTTTACCAGTTTTTCCGTACCTACCCCGACGTCCGCATCACGTGCGTTGATTCCATAATGGGGAGTAATGTGTATCTCACATCCCACCATATGGTGAGTGAGGTGGCACATCGTTCCCTTCGGGGGTCATTTTAAGGCTAACATGATACCCAAATAGGCTGTAACATACTTAAAGTAAACGTCCATGCCTCACATCGTAAGATACAGGGAGAAACTACATTTGAGATTGAATGGGAATGAGATACTTACAGTCCCATTGTGAGACTGACATCCAGCCATACAGGGAGTGACATTCTTACAAGTCCATTGTGAGACTGACATCCCTGCCATACAGTCCATTGGAGTGACATCCAGCCATACAGGGAGTGACATGCCTACAAGTCCATTGTGAGACTGACATCCTGCCATACAGGGAGTGACATACTTACAAGTCCATTGTGAGACTGACATCCTGACAGGGGTGACATCTTACAAGCATTGTGAGACATACATACAGAGTGACATACTTACAAGTCCATTGTGAGACTGACATCCTGCCATACAGGGAGTGACATACTTACAAGTCCATTGTGAGACTGACATCCTGCCATACAGGGAGAGACATACATATAGTTCCATTGTGATACTGACATCCTATCATTTATGGAGTAGGATACTTACTGTTCCATTGTAAGACTGACATCCTGCCATACAGGGATTGATATACGTAACGCCGTCAACTCCACACAGAGGCATGAACTCTGTTGCATCGCAATTACACGCGGTATCGTTGACCTTAGTGTATCTGAAATTCAGATATCGTCAAAGGTATACACGGTATGATAGAAAGGTCTTCCCTGGATAGTGTCATACTATTCTGTGTGACAAATGAGAGGGTAATGTTCAAACCCATCACTCGCAAGACCAAATTCTTGTGCGTCAAAAATGAGACCAGAATGTACACAGACATGTCCCGTAAAAGTGTCCTGTTGCTTTTCGTGACCAAACATCTGTTATCTTCTACAATTCCGTGTGAGTGTCACATTCATTTCAAGCAAATTGTTGATTGGTGGCATTTACCCCTCATAAATGAGTCGATTTTCATCATTTTACATACACGTTTTGAAACGGCGTAAATACCTTCAACACATTGGCGAATTATTATTTAACAGCTATGGTTTAATACAGCTTGTATTAAACCATCAAGGTTAGATAATAACTCACCAAATTATTCCTATTACTATTTTATTGTCAGAAATGGGTGTTTGTCTTACACTACAAGAGATGGTTATTTACATTCTGTGTTAGTCATGGCAACCCAGTGATAGATTTCCTTTAAAACATTCTAAGATTTTTTTTTAGATAAGGCGTTTGTAATAACGGTTACTGTTTACTGTGTGCCGAAGGTAATAGGTTGATCTGATATAACGTGTATATTAAAGACGTGTGGATACACATGTACTTCTTTCAAATACCACCTTTTTTTTACTCTGGGGTGTAGTGTCAAAACAACTGACAATTATATGATGTATGATATCAGACCAAAAATGGTCATGTTTTAAGAAACTGCGTCATTTTAAAAGATTACATGATTTTGGATTACGAGAGAGTAAGCCGCAATGTATGTCCGAAGTTTTAACCGACAGGCAATTTCAAGTCCGCGTGGTTTCCACCCTGTCTGATTATTACAATCAGGATCAAGGTGTCCCACAAGGCAATATTTTGTCCGTCACTTTATGCAGTATCAAGCTCAACAGTTTAGCCAAGGTTTTAACCGATTCAATTGATGGATAACGTTTTGTGGATGATTTTAATTCTTCTTGTTGTGGTAAAAGGATGCATACTACTGAACGGCAAGTGTAGTTGTGTTTAAACAAAATAGATAAATTATGTCTTGAAAACGGCGTCTTTAAATTTTCTACGACGAAAACTAATTGTGTACATTTCTGCCGTAAATACAAACTGCATGAAGACCCAGAACTATTTCTAAACGGTTCACCCATCAAGGTCGTTAAGGAGGCCAAGTTCTTGGGTCTTATTTTCGACTCACATTTAACGTTTCTGCAACATATTAAATCCCTTATAGCTAAATACCTGAAGGCTCTTGATATGTTAAAAGTCGTTTCTAATTAAAAGTGGGGAGGGACCAAGCTACAGTTCTTCAGATCACTGGTTTGCTTCGAAATTAGACTACGGTTCCATCGTATATGGTGGAGCCTGCAAAAGCAATCTAAAACTACTTA